TTTTTGTTCCACATGGCAGATGCAAACTCTCATTTTTAGCTGATTTCTATTTAAATTATATTTCTAGCTTTTGCATTAATTAGGCCGTCAAACTAGAAACTTTCTGCCCTCCTCCATTCCACCTGGGGTCTGAGAGGCTGTTTTGCATTTTGTGCCGTTTCTTTTTATGTTGAGCAGGCCAAGAGCAAGTGCCAGTCAAATAGTTTTGTGTGCTTTTGCACTCGCTGTTGGGTTGTCTCACTGTTGGGTGTCTAAGCTAATAGGAGGGTTTGTAGGACTGCTGGATTGCTTCCATCAATGAAGACTTCTCTGTTTTTTATTAGAGGTACAGGCTCTTGTTTCTCTCTGTGCTGCCCCTGAGAGAAAAGGCAATTTAGTGCTGTCTTGTGCGTGCAGTGATATAGCTTGATATGTGGTTCCTGCCACTGTAAATCACGCAAGATCTTTAGGAATGTGGTATATTGCCTCTGGTGCTAGGGGATTAAATAGGGGATTATCCCAATTGGTAATAGTAGAATTTACTTCAAGGAAGTGAAACTTTTCTGTGTAACTAGTATGTTTTATACTGCAGGTATTAGAGACATCTTAATGATAAAGTTTCTACAAAATGATTGCTTTATTACTCCTTATTTCTTTCAAATAAGAGGCATTTATCAATTTTTAGAGTATAAAAATACTATAATGAATGAATTACTTATCACATTATGCAAACTTGTGCACAAAAATTAAGAAAGTATTAGAAACAATAACCTGATAAATTCTGCTTTTTGTTAGCTTTGCCCTCTAGCACTTTTATGCTTTTACTAGTATACAACACCAAGCACTCCTCTTAGAAGTGCCTGGATATTTGATGTTACTTTTGGAAATTCCATTTGCTCAAAAAAAGGCATCTGCTCTGTAGATTAAACCAGCACATTTAATGGCTATGGTTGGCTGCTGAGAGCACTGCACTTTCTAGAAGGATTACAAAAAAAGGAAACTGCTGTGAAGATCTGTACTTCAAAGAGGATTTTAGCTCAAAGGTAACCGACCACACTTTACCAGTGTTATCAGAGTCTGTGAGCTTAGGTCCCCATTCAGGTTTCTTTTTTGTATAAAAGCTGTATTGTGTTTTTAACATTAAATTGATACATTTTTTAAAAAAGATTTGAAACATTCAGGCTGGTCGGTAAGCATTTTTCATCAAGATATTACAAGTTTCTTTAGCTTTTTTATTCTAGTCTTCCATTGTTCCCATTTATGGTTGTACAAAAGAGGAAGTTGCAAAGCTGAAGTAGCTTAGTTTGAGGACTCTTAATTTGTGGTCTTCAGGTATGTGATTCCTGAAGGGTGATCTGTAAGTGGGCGATCTGGGTGGATCTGTGCCTGTGGCTGGCAGGGGAATCCTACTCCAAGCTAATAAAGTAATCTTATCTAAATCACTGCATGCTCTAGACATGGTGAAACCACTCTTACTGGTTGAGTTACATGAATGTAATAACTTAAGGGATCATGTACCTGTTGGAAAACCTCCACCCTGGTTTACATTAATTGTGACAGTCAAAATGGACTTTTAGTATTTGATAAGCTCTTTAGAAGGCTATTATTTAGCTCATTAGTAATCATTTTTGTTACTACTGACCATTTCCGCTAGCTCAGTACTAATATGTTAGTGCTGTTATATTTTGTCTGTGTGACTTTTTTTACTCTGTGCAAGTTTAGCTTAATGTGATGTCACAGTGTTCAGCAGAACCATACATGTTCTCGTATTGGTTGTGTAGTGGTAGATTTCTTGTGAGATACGAATGTTGCAGTTAGTAGGATTCTCTCTCTCATACTCTCCAGACCTGAATCCCTTGGAGCATATGTGGGATGAGCTGTGGTCTGTGTGTGTCAGCAGTTAGCAGGTGTTCAACAATGTGTAACCAGGCTTTCTGAGAGGAATGGGAGAGAACCCCACAAGACCGCATCTGCAACCTGGTACACAGCATTCACTGCAGATGTACAGTGTGTATTGCTTCCAGCTGTGACCACACACTGCACAGATTATTTTCCTGAACAAATTGTGAATTTCTTGCAGTTATATCAAAAGAATCTTCCAATGTATATTTTTCATGAATATCTGTAGTCTTAAAATTGCTTTGCAAATATTCCTCACAATTAGTGGCTTTACTTTTGTACATACAGTAACTTTATAAATGCTCCATGAGTGATGTGGCTTGTTGCTTTTGAAATAGTATTAAAATATTAGGTGCTGTAAGTGTCTGGATTACTCATGGTGGTGCACTCAACCTCTAGATTTTTAACTTTTTATCACATTGATTTTTTTTGGTCCGTTCTCGGATATACAGTTCTTGTTGATGAGAGTCATATCACTGCAAAGTCATTTTAGCTGTAATTTTCATTATCTAATAATAATAATAATGTTTCTTTATTAGCCCTATACAATTTCTTGCATTAGGAATTCGTCTTTTCGCATACCCCAGCTTTTCTCTATGGAGACACAGACACAGAGACAGGGAGAGAAGCTTGGGGTCAGAGCGCAGGGTCTGCCATTGTATGGCGCCCCTGGAGCAGTTAGGGTTAAGGGCCTTGCTCAGGGGCCCAACGGAGTAGGATTCCTCTGCCAGCCGCGGGATTTGAACCGGCAACCTTCCAGTCACAGGCGCAGATCCTTAGCCACAGAGCCATCTACTGTATGCTAGATATGCTTTTGTAATAATAATAATAATAATAATAATTGCTTACACTTATATAGCGCTTTTTGGACACTCCACTCAAAGGGCTTTACAGGTAATGGGGACTCCCCTCCACCACCACCAATGTGCATCATCCACCTGGATGATGCGACGGCAGCCATAGTGCGCCAGAACGCTCACCACACATCAGCTATCAGTGGGGAGGAGAGCAGAGTAATGTAGCCAATTCATAGATGGGGATTATTAGGAGGCCATGACTGGTAAGGGCCAATGGGAAATGTGGCCAGGACACCGGGGTTACACCCCTACTCATTTCGAGAAACGCCCTGGGATTTTTAATGACCACAGAGAGTCAGGACCTCGGTTTTACGTCTCATCCAAAGGACAGTGCCTGTTTACAGTATAGTGTCCCCGTCACTATACTGGGGCATTAGGACCCACATGGACCGCAGGGTGAGCACCCCCTGCTGGCCCCACTAACACCTCTTCCATCAGCAACCTTAGTTTTTCCCAGGAGGTCTCTCATCCAGGTACCGACCAGGCTCACACCTGCTTAGCTTCAGTGGGTTACCAGTTGTGAGTTGCAGGGTGATATGGCTAGAATAGTATAGTTTTGATGTTTTAGATTTAGCTCATTTAGATGTTAATGTACACCAGTATTTTGATATAGTCAGAATTAAATGGCCCCAGGATAAATAAAGTATTTTGAAATGCATGGTTTAGGAAAGCATTCACCAAAAAAAAAACTCTGTGGAGTCATTATTTGGTAGTGCATAAATAAGGAACTCTGTTGTATACTGAATAATAGAATATTCTGGTTAGTCTGAAGAACAAGGAATTGAATGTGACCTAATTCTTGGCAAGACACCAGGGCAACACTGCTGAGGCTAAAAAAGGTTCAGCACAGTCAAAGCTCATGAGGTTGAATGTAGAGTTCATCTGGAAATTGTGTGCAAGATGTTGTAGCTGTGTTTAGTTACTCAAGTATGAGTTTTCAGCTTGTGCAAAATCACTGGTCTGTAAAGCTTACATTAAGAGAGTGTTGACGGTTAAGTGAGCGAAACGTGGAAGTAAGGTTTTGGAGGGATTATTGAGTATCCTAAGAATTCTAGTATAAAGCCACAATTTGTTTTTAAAATTCTACCTTTTGTTTACAAAACAGTATTTTATCTTCAAAATCAAAATCTTGTCTAGTTCAAAATTGGAAATAATCTCCATTTATTATCTTGTCCAGGATACACATACTGTAGGGATCCAGACCTCATCAGGTCAGGTATATCGTTCGGTTTTGGTTATGTAACAAGTGAACTTTAATTCATTGTTAGAAATTAGAAAGGAGAAATAATACTTTCAACATAGACAACTCACTCTAAACAACGCAGGGCCTTCTTCGGGTGTCAAGATGATGTTTTCAGGTGACAGCAGGAGAAGACTCTACAGCCAAAACATTTCTCCGTTCTAACCTTTACTTTGCATAAACAGCCACACACTTGCTTTCACATTTGTCTTTGCTAAGTAAATTTAAATGGGTATTCAAATTACAGAAATGATAAATCAATGGCATAAGGTTGAAAGGCGCAGGAAGAGGATGAGCAGGATTGTTCATGCTATGCAACTGGTACAGAATTTGTTACTATTCTATGATCTGTACTGTATATAATAGCCCTTTCCTGGACCATTATATGTATATTGCTGGTGGCGCATCTAATAATTCAATTCCAAAATAAGTAAAACGAGGATTAATTATGATGATTCTTCTTCAGATTTTTGAATAGGTTTTAGAAGTATCTTTGGACTTCAGTTTCCCAGATAGTAAGGTATTTCAGGAATTAGCTTATGGTACACCAGCATCTCAGAAAGAACTAAGAATGAGAACTGGTTGTTTGATCTTGATAAACACTAAGGTTTTCGAAAAGCACTAAATACTTATACAGAAACAAAGGTAGAATTTGATATAGAAGTGTTTGTTTTAGCCTTCTGATTACAATAGGTATTGGAAGACTGATAGTGAATTGTAAGTGCCACAGTTATTCAAGATTTGTCTGGAAAGTGTAATAGTCCAATAAGTATTTTAGACAGATAATAAAGGGTTGAGTAAATGCTAAATTATAAATTGTATTTTGAGCTTTTTACAATAATAATGACCCCACATTTGCTTAATGTATGAGTACTCTTTTCACACTGACACCTTTTAAGCGTTTTGGACTAGTGTCTTTTAAGTTTAAAAATATAGTACTTTTTGACTACATTTTGCCCACCATCCAACAAAATAGACCATTGCAACTTGACAGTTAACCAACGCATCGTGTTTTTGAACTACAGGGAGAAGTGCAGCACCTAGGGTCCTGGAGAGGTACAGAGCCCGGGCTCAAGAGCAAGTGCCACTGAACCGGGGGCTCAGCCGGTCCATGGGGTCTCTGCCCATCAACGACCTCCTCAGGGGAGAGGAAGAGGGAGGTGCCCCCTACACATCTTTGGATTACAATCCCGGGCACGCGGGTGGCCCAGAGCAGTTTTATCAGCAAAGAGTCAGGCGAACTGCAGCGGACAGGAAGCCTCCTTCCTATCGTGGGGATTCGGGATACCCCAGGAAAAATTGGTCGTCCTCTCTGGATTTGGCAGGCTATGACCTGGAAGCTCTCCGATACGGTGCAAGGGACGGGTCTCACAAAGCCAGTTCCTTGTCTCAGCGTTCTGAAGGAAGAGTCGGGGAGTACAGGAGCACTGACTTTGGGGGACTGTCAAGCAGCTTGGAGCCCAGGAAAGCCCAATACGTGCCAGCCCACAATGTCAACTCTGCACTCCTAGGTGCATACGACAGGATTAAGGAACGGCAGAAGAAGCTGCAAGTGCTCAGGCAGGCCATGGAAGTGGAAGGTAAGCTTCTTGGCAATTCCTGAAGCTGTAGATAAGGTAGTAGTTATCTTGCTTTTCTTGTCAGACTAGATGTTTGGCTTCTTTTGGTATTCCTGTTATTTCAAGATTTTTTTTTCCCCTCATACTTTTGAAATCTACTTGGGCATGGCCTTGGTGGCTTCACTTAACTGGGTGTTCATAAAATAGCACTTTTGCCTTACAATAACTTGTAAATGCCAGAAAAATAGCCTTTTAGATTCAAGGTTTAGGTTCTAAACTCTTGGTAAGTTTGGGAAAATGGATTGTGTTATTAATTCAGCTGACTAAGTTTTGCTTTCAGCATTAACTTACAGGAGCGGAAACATTTTGTGATGGACTAATTTGTCAGAAGTTAAAAAAACTTACTTAATCTTTAAATTATAGATCTGGAAAAGTGGTAGATCCTAATTTTGTCCAAATCTGCTCTGTGAGTATTCAATGCAGCCAAAGACGTTTTTTAAGACTTCCCAAGAGCTTCCCCTGAACTCGCCTTTTAAGCAGAGGAGATTGATGGAGATGTAAATGAGCAAATTGGCCTGGCATAGTAATGTAGAGGTTAAGAGTTTGGTTAGGAATCTGGGAGAAATGTTGCAGAGCACTCAGCAGGCTAGTAATGTGATTCATTTGAAGCTGAATGAATGAATAGCCAATGTCGACAAACTAGATGTGAAGTACTGTTTGTGTCACTGGGTGCCAGCAAGAAATCAGTTTGCTAGGTTATAGAGCAGGCTTCTTCTTTCCACAAAATTGTCAAGTCTTATACTGTATGTAGATACACACTTTTGTATATCATGTGAATCTTTGTATTTCAGACAGTTATAGGAACTTAACATTGTTTTTTTTTACTTTTTCCTTAATCCAAAATGATGCGTCTCGTATGTTAGGCCCCCCTTCTTTCAGATTGGGAAAAGTTTTCCAACAGCCTAGGGGTCAGTAATCAGTAATTGGAGTCATGTGTGGAGGATAATGGAATTCCAAGCATGATTTGTGTCCCTGGCTCCTGGCTTACTGTCAAGGGGCTCCAGGCAGGACTGGATGGTGGGTGTGTGTATGTTCTGAGGCTCATGTGTGAAGCTACACGTCCAAACGTGCTAAATCTGCAACTGTCAGCTACAATAGATATCTGCTCTCAGAGATCAATGTGATAATATACAGTGTGCCTATTGATGTTTCCTGAAATGCTTAATGTAAAGAAAATGTCTAAACATAAGAGATTGCTTTTAAGTTACAGCTGTATAGGTAATTAACAATGATGATATAGATGTTATGCCAGTGAAACCTGGATGAAGATTGGATAGATTTCAAGACCACACCACAAAGAAAGGGAGCAATACACTTCAAAATAGGGCAGATCCCATTATCTGAGAACTTTCCATGCCTAGTTATACTTGTTTCTGTTTGACTCAATCAGTATTCAGTTCCACAGCACTGTTTCCACACTGCATCCACTGGAAGGCATTAGTTTCAGTCACATTCTAGAGGCTTTCCTGGTAGTCATGCAACACTATGGTGTGTCTACCTTCACATCAACAATAACTGATAACGTTCCTATCAGCTATGCAAAATACATCTAAAAACATTGAAGACTTATCGAGTCAGGTTTTCCCAGTCCAGAACTTGAGCAGTACTTGAGCTGTACTCAATTTCGGACCAATTGTATATTAATGCAATTAAATGAAGACCCCTTTTTAAGTGGTTGAACAGGTTAAAATAAACAGCCAACATTTTTAAGGCAAGTGTTGCATTTTCTGCAAAACAAATAAGTGGAGGGTGCAGTTTTCTTCAACATTGAGACAGTTTTTCAGTATTTTCAACACATACCGTCTGATGAGACCCTTCTTATCTCTTAAAACTGGCAAAGTGATACATTATATGTTCAAAAAATATAATGCTGTGGAGTTCAAATTTGTTCCAAGATCCACAATGAAATCTGAAGATCCAACAGGGGTCGGCAGTCCAAATATTATCTAGCAGTGTTTTAAGAAAATAGCTTGCCTATCATTTTTGAGCTGTAAATTCTTGAAATCCTGTTTTCTTTGCACCTTTAAACTTCTTTGGATTTTCTGGAAACAAATCTGCATATTTCACAGTCATTCTGAGGGTGAACAGTCCTGGCACAAAGGAAATAAAACCTGATGATGATTTTCAAGTATAGGGAAATGATCCATGAATATGAACTTTTCTTTTGAATTGTGGTGGGCATCGCAATCATACTTCTGGGACACCTAATGCTGCTTGAGCAAAGGTTTTCCAGCGTATTTGGTAACCTTTGGTAGGTCATATTTCTGTGCACAACGAAACCTTTTGGAAGATTCCACTTTTGATGATCTTAACTAATGGCAAACATATAAAGATCAAAATGTACAGTAGGTGCATACATCAGAGCTTACTGAGGTATCTGGAAGTATATTGAAATAGCTCTGACCAAGTGAGTCTAAACTTAAGTTATAATATTCGAATGTGGCTCTTATCTTACCACTTCAAACTGTCGCTGTATCTGATTCTCATTGAGGAAATGAGATTACTCTAAGAGCTAAACGTTCTACCTTGACTAGTGACTATTTCAATTTCTTACTTTTTTATAGTCTTTGTAATTGAGTGGCAGCAAAACCGGTGATTGCTGAAATATGTCAGGCATAGCAGAATATATTGATTCATCCGAGATTTAGACCGTGACATACAACAGATTTTAAGCATTTTGTTGACTTATTGAGGACTAAGAGAATACACCTGGAACAACAGTTTAAAGTTCAGAAATTGCAGAAGATTTCGAATAGTTTTATTGCATTAAATATGTATTTTAGGTCTGTTCAAAAACAGGAGGTGAAATTTCTGTAGGAAGGCTGGCTTAGGAAACACCTGTGGAGACAGATTAAATGTTATTTTTTCCATCAAGATTTGTTTTTCAAAGACATTTTCCAGTTCTTCTGTAATGTTTCCCTGGATTTCTCCCATTTTTACATTTGTTGCTTCCCAAACGATTATGAATTCCAACTGCAAAAGTAATTCACAATAATAGAAGAAATGAGCTGCATGTTTGCTTGACCAGAAGTACAGACTTCTTTTTTTTTTCTCCTTCCTTCGACATTTTGTTGAGGGAGCCAACATTTCAGATAGTGTCTACAGGAATTCTTTTTGGCTCACTGTTGTGAAAAAAACCTTATATATATATATAGCCTGCTCTTATACTGTATAAGCCTTTTCATGGTTAATTCTCAATTTTAAACAAAAGTACAAGCACAATAAGAAAGTACTTATAGAATACAGTAATTCATACTTCTCCAACTATTTGGAAGGAAGCATTTTCTTGAATTAGAATTTAATGTTTAGAACCAGCTTTGAAGGGCTGCATTTGGAAGAGTACCGTGTTTTTTCATAGCTTGTTTGAACTGTAGGTGCTCATTAAATTTGAATTTAATGTGCTTTACTGCAAATTGGAAGCAAACTTGTTTCATACCTTCTATTATCCATGTTTTATTGTTTCAACATTTTTTTTTGGTCTACTTCAGTCTCATTTACAGTTGATTCATAATTCAGCAGCACATTTACATATACGTTAAGACCACAGCTACATAACATTACTTCTGTACTTCAAAAACTGTTTTGGCTTCCAGGTGAATTATACATAAACGTAAATAGTTATGAACACCTTTGAAGTGTAGCTCTAGATTATCTAGTGGAATTGTTAAAAAGCTTCATCCTGTACTTCTCATTCTACATACTGGTCGACTGGAAACAGTTAAAAGTTGGGTTTCTCAGTTGTATGGGTTATTCTTCTTAGACCTCTGAGCACTCCCTAAAGTAAAGGCACTTTATTAACTTACATTGTATGGACTTGTTTTCTTATCTACTGAAGTAAGGGATTTAACATTTGGTTGTTATTCCATTTGGTTTATGGCCAGAGATTACTATTTTCAATGTTGAGTACGGAGTGACCACTGAAATGCAGTGACACAGGCACATAAAACACAGTGAGGTTTATCCACCCATCCATTTTCTAACTGCTTTATCCAGTTCATGGCTGTGGGTCCACACAGATAGCACCCAAAGCTGGGAATTAAATCCAAAGCTTTAGTGCTGTTAGCCACCAATACTAATGTGCTATTGTAATGAATCACTGGGATGGGTGGATGGAAAGAATTGGGACTGAATTTGATTGAGTAGGCTGGTACATGAAATCATTACCTGAGGTGCTGACCTTGCAGGTTTTAAGTACAGTACATTTTCCATACTTTGTTTAGCACCCCTGCACATACCTTGGAGCCTTTTATTTTATTTCTGGCTATCTTCAACACAAAGCTTGGTTTAAATTTATGAGCGCTCTTATGTAAGAACAAATTAAGCCCAAATTGCAAACTCCTGAAATATGCAGACTGTTTCAGCTGTTTGTTTTAATTGTCTGACACTTGGATATCTTAAAAGCTTAATCTCTGTATACATTTTAACTTTTAACGTGTGATTTGCTGATTAAGTGCTTCAATATCAATTTGCTGATGTCTTTTTACTCTGAGAAAGATCGGTCACTGGGTGATAGCCTTGTCTAATAGTATCTATTAGTAATTCTTTGGCATTTTTGGCAGTTTTTAAAACTTACTTGGAGACCTATGCCTTCACTGTAGCTTTTAATGTAAAATTTAGCTTTACTATTCTTTTACTGGGTCAATTTGCTGTTCTTTTTTCTATTCTATGTGTATTGCGTGCAATGATACTGTACAGAACATTATAATCTAATGAGTACTTTTCGAGAGAGATTTTCATTATCACAGTGCAGTGTTATGTTAGGCTAGGCCTTTAGGTAAAAAGCCTGGACTGTTCTCTAAAACATTTTGTATAGAGCTCCTCTTTACTTTTGAGCAAATTCTTGGAAACAGATTATGGCTGCTAAATCACGGTCTCCACTGTTAATTTGCAGAATGCTTCCATCCATTTTGATCCTATTTCCCCTCCATTTTCAGAGGTTGAATGTAAATGTGGTGTTTTGAATTATAATAAAAATATCATGATTTTGTTAGTCAATGGAATATTGCCAAAGGGCACCAATTTCTGTAATGCAAATGAGTGTTTAAATGATAGATATTTCATGAAAGGAATCACACTTTCACCTCAAAGGATGCATACAAAAGCATCAGTTTAAAATAGGTTTGTTTAAAGATAGCACAATGAATCAAGTTTACATGCCTCAGACATTACATCATAAACAGGCTAGATTGCCTTTTGAAAATATCATTGAATTGTTGGTAACTGTAGGCAAGGTTATTCTGTTTGGTCTTGTTTAACTTTGAATGGAACATTGTGCACATTTTAATAATGCTTTATTATTTAGTGCAGCCTACATCAATTTTTTGCCATTGATCTGCACATACAGCGGGTCTGTCTGTGTGTGCAGGAAGCTTCTGGGTGTGGCTGAGACAGCATCTTGAGAGGCACAAAGGGAACATTTTTGTGACCAGGAAATAAACCTGGTGCTCCAAAAGACCACTCCTCCATCATTGGAGTCCAGTGAAGTGAGATCATTATGGTTTCATTTGACACTGAGACCTGTTGACACACTGTATTATTTTTACCTAAAATGATTTAAGATATCTCACACTCCCATGCAATTACAGAGATTCAATATTTTTTTATTGACTAAAATAGATCACGGCCATTAAGTTTGGTTTTGTGTTGACACTGTCAAAAATGCTTTTGTTTCGTGTCGCATAAGTTATTATATCAATTAACTTTCTGATTCATAAGGTGTAGTGAAGTCTAGAAGGTCTACAAGTCAACAGAAAAATGTTTGTCACAAGACAAGTCTCTTATCAGCTAGTCTATGTAAAGATGAACAATCAGTGAAGAATGTTATTTGAAATATGTTGTCCTCACTATTTTTCAGACTGGATTTTCTAGTTCCGTTTTGTGTAAAAATAAACTGATGGATTCAATGGGTACTTTCAATAGAAACTGAGTTTCTTTTTCCCTTAGGTGCTTAGAGATAACTGGAGATATATATTAGCTTGTAAACAGTTCAGGGCAAAGTATTTATTTTGACATGAATGTTTCCAAACTGAGTTGTCTCTGCCAATTGAAGGGTGGAATAATGGGTAGATGGAAAGCAGATAGGTGGATGGAGTGTCAATGTTTTATAGGTTAGGAAAGTATGGTGTTACTGTACAGTATGTCAAAATTGTTGTTTGGAGTGTTCTTCTTCAAGACAGGGCCATGAATCCTCCCCTCCCCCCAAATAAATTAAATCAAGCAGCATTTTCTGTCAGGCCCCCATGCTTATGATTATGAAGAGCATTGCGGACTAAATACTAGACAGCTTGTATATTGGCATTCAAATCGTATGTTACTTTATTTTGCTGTCTCATCTAATACAATGGAGTATTATGTCACTTTCTTTTTTGTTAACAGGATTTGTTTAGCTTCATCTTTCATTTGCTCATCTTCCTGTTATTTATTAAGTTTATAATGTACTGTCTACATTGTGTGGTGTTGTACTGTGTATGTCCTGAGAGATCAGCATGATTTAAGAATTCCATACAGTATAATGCATATATTCCACACCTGGTATATTGGTTGTGGAGATGTTGCAAATGCTATCTGGACTGGGAACAACGGATGTTATGCCTTTAGTTTAGAATGTCATACATCCTGGCATTCCCTATCAGAATAACCTCAAGCCTTGTCTTCAATGCCAATACACAGACAAGAGCTAGTTTGGGCAAGAACCACAACTTGCTAACTTTATGGAATCAAGAGAAGCATTTCTATGTGAAGTTGTTTCCTTGAAGAAATTGCTGTCCCAATTTTCAGTCCTTTGCAACAATGAGATTTATCCTGTACTTCCCTAGCACTGTTCATTTCAATCGCAACACTGTTAAAGCCCTTCTCCCAGTGTGCACGTGATCCGTCTCTTCTAAAATATTCCCATGGAAACTGCCAGCTGATACAGACCTTTTTTGCAGTTCACCTTGTGCTGTACATTTTACTGTTAAAATTGATTACATGCTGTCTAGACTACAGATAAATCATATTAGACAATTGAGTATATGAGGCTAGGGTGGCATCCAATTTCATATTGAGCTTTTCTCAAAGATTTAAGATGGTGCGTTTGTCTTTAAATACTTATGCTATTAAATATATTTTTTTAAATCCTCATCCCTTCTGAGATGGATGACAAGCACACAGATGTGGCTGCTCCTGCATGAGTTTATTTTGAAAAGTGGGGCAAAAGAATGAATCCATCCACTGTGGTTGTCTGTGACAGAGTGGGTAGTGAAGCATGTATTGTATAACCTATTTGCAAATCAGTTAGTGGGTTTTCTTCTTTGGTTTTGTTAGGGGCTCTGAAAAGTTAACTGCCAAGCAGGTGGGATATGGTATTTGTTAGATAAGCCTGCACAGGAGTGGCTTTTGGCAGAGAGCAGTGTTAGCATGCTGTAGACTGCTATACAGTAGACTACTTCACTTGAGTTTTTTAGTTTTGAGGCTCCAAAAGCGCCTCTTCTTGTAACCATTTACATGGTCCATGTGCGATTTTGGTTAGATTTTTGGAGTGTGAGCTTTTGATGAGAATTGATATGAATTTTTGCTTGTGTTGCAGAGCCTCTGAGCACTCATCGAAGATACCACAGTGATGCATGTAGCAGCTCCAGTGAAAGTCCATCTATAGCTTCTTCAGATGCAGACTACAGACAAGGTAGGTAATGTCTATTGAGTAGCTCTGTAGTAGCATCTTTTGAGCTATTTGTGGGCTCTGGAGGCGGGGGAGAATTGTAGGACCCTCTCCCCCTTCCTCTTTGCTTAGCCCAGTATTCTTTAGAAGACTAGTGTAGGGGAAAAATGTCTACTGTAGTTGTCCATGATAGCTCAAGCTCTAATCAGGTTATGTTTATCAGGTTTGGTTTATAATGAAATCTGTGGTGCTGATTGAAGGGTTTGAATGCACAGAAAAAAACCACAGAGTCGCTTCAACACTGGCAGATACATTGATTGTATAGTGGGGAAAAATGGCTGTAGTTCTTAATGTGTGTAAATTCTGATACTGATTTTACATTTGTCATCCTTATTGTATAGTTATTGTATTACCATCTTCCAATTTGTGCACTATTTCCTCATTTATCGCATCAAGTGAGTTTATCCATGATCTTAAAATTGGATATTAAACATTCACATTGAAAATTAACATGGGAAAGTGTATATACCAATGTTTGCAAAAATAAATGCTTGGCCGGTACAAAAAAAGATTTGGATTACAATTGTCTTCTTAATAGTTTAAGATTCTATTATTCCAACATTCATAAGGTGTTGTAGGGAATGCACTTTAAAGTAGAGGCATTGTCTTTGGTACCTTTCTTTTTCACTGATAAAATTTGCAGAAGCTTAGTTTGGCTGCTCATCTCCGCTGGCTTGTGAAGTTGCCAGGAATCTTGGCATCTTGTAAAAGCTGAGCTAATGTGAGGTCAAATGATAGAATAACATGTCATTGTTGATTTTTTTTTTCCGATAGCAAGAAGACCCGAGGATGTGAGAAGATATGGCTCTCAGGTGGGCATGTCTGAACATGATGTCATCTCTCTAGCCAGTCATGTGTCTTTACGAAACAGGTAAGGCCTGGGGGAGGTTGTTTTTGTTTTGTTTTTAATGTTCGTACCAGGAAAAGACTATGGATGTTATCTAAAAACAAAACTGAATCTCGGTTTTAAATCAGGAATATTTTGCACTTTCTTGTTAGTTAACACTTGAAAGTTAAAGTAACATTTTAGAAAAGGCTGCTTCTAACAGTGTAGGTGTCAGTTTCTTGAAATGTTTGGTTTCAACTTTTAAATCCATAGATGTTTTTACTATTTTTTTTTCAAATCAATATACAGTTACAGGAAATCCATGCAGGTATTTATTTTATAGTACTCTAGAAGGATTATGGCAGTAGCTAATGCATATGCTGTTTTTTATGGTGGTTATTCATCTCTAATCTCTTGAGGTAATTGTGGCATAATCCTATGGCACCTCATCCTGCGGCTAATAGTTTCAAAGATTTTGAATCATTTTATGGATTTTGAACTTAATGGCTTTCATAAAGTGTTATACGGGGTAGAACACTTGTATTACTTTATACAGAAGTATATTGGATGGTCTGATTTTTAGCTTGAGTGCTCCCTCTGCAGGATGTTCAGAAACTCTGTTGCCATTTGACACAACATCAGTGCAAATTAGTTTGGGTGTGATTTCATAATGAAAAGATTTTGATTGGGAAGCATTTCAACATGACAGATTGCAATTCTGAAGTATGAGGCTATTTTTATTGGGGGAACATGAGAATTGGAAATACTGTATGCCTATCTTAAATCGGTATCAGCCATGTGTAGACACAAATAGGTTTCATGCCATTTTCCTACATCTGCCATCAAATGAGCTTGGTGCAAACACCAATTCTTGTGATTATTTAACACCCTTGTGGATTCAGTGTTTAGCTACATATAACATAAATGGAAATAAAACATACTATGTGTAATAGTCAAGTCTTAATCAACGTTCTGCATCCTGTTATTGATGGAATTGAATTTCTCACTTTCTTAATATTTGATTCTATGAAAGGAACCTTTAATCAAGACACTAGCCTGCTACTTAAAGGCATTTCACTGAAATGTTCATACTGTCTCCACCCCTCTTCCATCCTTTACTTAAGGGAAATTTTACATTTAAATGTATGTGCTACAAAGCTGATGTCTGGTGCAGAAATGGCATGTTCAATGCATATTGAAATAAGTTTTTTTTTTTTTACTTTAATTGACTCAAGTAAGTAGGACTCAAGATAAGTATCAAAAACACATTGGATGGTGTATTAAGTGCCATTAAAATCGGGACATTTTAGTATTGTGGTTATTTCTTTATATGATTTTGGAGTGTAGTTACAGTGAAAACAAAGGTATGTTATGGAACCTTTGTATGAGAGCCAGGCGTCTCTTGGGAATAACTGGCATTAGAAAAAGTGCAGTATACGTGGTTGAGGCCAACGTTGAGATGTAAAGTAGTTTTGAATGTTGGAGCTTGTGCCGTGTTGGTTACAAATCTTTACAAATTTTTCTTTTTACCAGGCCCTACGATGTGGCCTCTGAGGAGGGCCTGGTGAGTGGGGAGGTGATGTTGAGGAGGCAGGAGGAGGAGATGCAGAGGCTGCAGGCCCAAATGGCACACAGGCACTCATTAGCCAGCCTGTACTCGGGGGAGCTGCCCAGGACTTCGCTGCTTGACATCACACGAGACCCGTTGAGAGACATGGCTCTGGAGAACTCTCTCACTCAGAGGAAACTGAAGGTACAGTTGGACCAACTGAAACTGCTCTGTGAGCAGTAGTTCAGAATCCACTTCTAGCAGGCAGATTTGCACAGATCACATTATTTCTTTAAAAAGCAGAGTAGAGACCATTTTGTTCCCAAGTGCATCCACAGAGAGTTGAGGAGCACTGAGGTGGCAAGAGGTGTCCACAACAGCTTATATAGAATAAGAGAATGTAAAATATTTTAGAAGGGAATTGATGCTTACATAACCACCATAATTTGACATTGAGAGTAGAGAGTAGATCATTATAGAGAGTGAATCCTAAACTACATGAAACTTGATTAGAGTTCTGTGTAGGTCAGTGATAATGTTTTTCTGCAGTGTTGAAATTCTGAAGGCTTTTGCTTTTTAACAACTTGTGAAACCTTGTATTACATTGCAGTCCTTGTTCTAAGTCCCCTAATTTAGTTTTACAGGCAACTGCTCAACCTGCCAGTTATCCCCATTTCAGTACTTTCTGAATATTACCATAAATATTTGATCAATCACTTTCTTGTATAGCACCTTTCAATCCGGAGTGTTCTCAGGACAGCAAATATGATACAACCATGTATATTTATTGAAATAAAAAGAGAAAAGTTGTATTTATTAAGCGCATCGTTTCCATTCTTACAAATTTAGTTAGCAAGAAGTTGTCTTGCTTAGTCGCTTAGCTGTCTTTCTTCTGCAAGAAGATGCATTAAAAAGGTAGGAGGTTACATAGCCCTTTCTCGTCCAGTATTGTGACTGTTCTTGTATTTTGTCATGTTCTTAATTTTTTGTTTTATTTTTATACTGTTGCCAGTATCACTGGGCATTGTCATATTCTTGTCCTGATGATTCACACGTTGTTACCTATCTTTTCAGTTCCTTTATTTTTCTGTGTTCTCTTCTGATGTTTAGAATTTCTTCGGCCCCGAGTTTGTGAAAATGACCAGTGAGCCCTGTCTCTCTCTGGATGTTCCTACTTCAATTCTGGTAAAGGGCTGTGCATTTCTTTTAAGATCTCCATTTGTGGGGAAAATGGGATCATGACATATTTCTCTGTAGAATAATGTTCTTGCTAATGCTAGTACCTACTTGGAGCCATTTTGTTCAACATCCTGTACCTCGTTAAGTCAAAAGTCTCCATCAAAGAATTAGTTATATCCTCAGCTAGTAATTGTTCTTTACTGCTCACAATAGGGATTAAAATGCAGATGTCAATTGATGATAAATCCAGTTTTACCAGTTCTGCTCTTTTAGTGTAAATAGCATTCACTTGCTAAGGTAGTATATGAAATCCACTTTAATCAATAGAATATTCTTTATTTCAAATAATGTTTCATACTTCTAGATTAATGTCCGCTTTATTCAGTAATTAAGGTAGCTTTCATTTTAAATGTATGTGGTTTCCATGCATGCTGTTCATTTCTGAATTTAATACATGCCTGTGAATATCTTCCAAATATTCAGAAATGCAGTTTTGTTTTCATTGTCTACATAGTGGGACTTGTATTTGTTTCAGTTAATAGACTAGTTTAAATCATTATTCCTTTTGGATGCATTTGCATTTATATTTTGTAAAGTTTGAGACGTGGTTATAATTTATCATATTACATATTTTAGTAAAATAATTTTGTTTGCTAGGAAGCCTGCAGAGGAAGTTAATTGTTACAATGTGCTGGGCAAGCATTGTGATTGTTATAAAAAGGTTTGTGTTTGCTGGATTGAAAATAACACCAGGAAATATCATGTCTATAATGCAGCAAAACATGGCAAGAAACTGCTTAAAAAATGCAGTTCCAGAGAACAGCTTGAAACAAAGGGGAAATAAAAAATCACTTTAGTTTTCAAAACGGAACAATTCAATGTTGCATTTAAAAGTACTTGCTACATTTAAGTAACAACAAGACCTGTTGCTTCAAGGCTTTTTCTCCTTTTGTTTAAAATAGAACAAAAAGGGAAAGGGGGATGACATTCGAAGGATAATCAACATTGTACTGCTGAGTGGACAGAGGCTTGAGCTGACATGCGATACCAAGTCTATCTGCAAAGACGTGCTGGATATGGTGGTTGCCCACATTGGCCTTGTTGAGCACCATCTGTTTGGCTTGGCATTCTTCAAAGGTAACAGTCAGAGTGCTACTTTTTAAAAGCAATATGTTGGAGTGATCTCCTATCTGAGGACTAAGTGCAGTTTCAGACTTCAGAATTTTCAAAATATAATTATAGCTAACGCAACTCCTTTCCAAAAAATGGTGTGTTACTGAAGTGCCATTGTCACATTTTTCATTGAAGTATTGAAATACCTGTAAAAACAATATTTTGGTAAACCTCTCCATCATATGGTTCTCATGTGCAATGGCCTGACTTTTTAAAAATAGCCTCAGTATAAAAACACAAGAATAAACACAAAGTAAAACAGACATGACAGCACTGGTGTCCAGTATGCTGGTTGTGTGTGTCAAGTAGGACCCGGTGGCAGAACTGTTGATTTTACTCATTTATATGTGGATGGGTTTATTATATGTGAAACATGGTCAGTTTCTTCGCCCTAGTCCCAGTATTTCTACTGTTCAGCATTTGCCGACTTGCTGATAACCTGTCAGGGCAGTGAAAGGTTGAATCTGTACTGGTAGCAATTGTTATACAGTATAGAGAATTGGCTGCAGGAATGGAATTCACTTGCTCCTGATAATTTGAAATGTGAATGACAAAGGATGACACAATTGTCAGTTGATAATATACCAGAAACAGACAAGGTTCAGCCTTAAGAATAGATCAGATTCGTTGGCATTTCTGACTTTTGTCATTTTGATGCATATACTTAATTTCTGTGTATATGTATGCTATTGTGTGTGTTTAGGAGTATCTCCTCCAATAGATATCCACTTCTGAATTTATGCTTAATGTAGAGTCAGAGCTGTGAGTTGTAGTTTACTAATCACTATATAGAGAATCAACTTCACAAAAAAGGGTTAATTGTTTTCGCTGTTCAGGTGTATTATTAATTTGCTTGACACTGTCATCCAAAGTGACAAAGCTGTACAGCTGGGAATGTTACTGGAGCAATCTAACCAAAGTACCCAGTTTAAGGGTAAATTAGTAATACACCTGGGGTTTGAACCTACAACTGTCCAGTTATGCAGTAGGTTCAGAGCCCAAACCACTCTTATGCTGAATAGTCCACATTCCACATACGTATGCATTCATTTTGAACAAGAATAAAATTAATCCATTACTTTTTAAGATTTGGACCATTTTAATTTTAAAAAAATGGGTTTACTTTTTAACTGCCAGTTATAAAATACTTTTTCTTGAAATGTTGTCTTTATTGGCATCCAATGCAAATGTACGTTTTTGTATCATTTTCATTGTAGCTGACAAAGCCTGTTTTCTTTGAAGAATTCTCGGGCCATACACACTTGCAGTTCACTGTACAGATGAGATGAAGGACCTTACCCTCATTTTTTTCATTTCAGACAATGAGTTTTTCTTCGTTGATCCTGATGCAAAACTTTCTAAAGTGGCACCAGATGGCTGGAAGGACGATCCCAAGAAGAAGAGATCGGATGTTAACTTCACACTTTTCTTCCGAATCAAGTTTTTTGTGGATGATGTCAACATGTTACAGTAAAGATTTCTTTTTACTGTAGTTGTTAAACAACTTTACTGTGCTGTTCCATAACGCTCTTTTTTATTCTAAAATATTTCAAGATGCTTTGTCAGTGCTCATTTGCACTCGAATATCCATAATGTAAGTGTGTGGCTGCCCTGAAAAGTCAGCTCTCAACCAGTTGAGTCTAATGTCTGTACTGCATGCATTTCCTTAAATAAGGCCAGTGTAAAGGGGGGAAAAAAAAACAAAAAAATCCATAGGAGTTTTTAATAGAATGGATAGACACACTCCAATAGTTGTAGCCAGTACCTAGTCTCACCTAGCTCTCTTTGCTAATTCGAACATCATGGTTTAAAACATTTTTTAGTTTTTAATTCTTTTTAAAATAATTGTTAGTTTTAAACATTTTTTAGTTCTTTAATTATAACCTCTTTTCCCTTGCCCAGGCACACTCTGACCAAACATCAGTACTACCTGCAGCTGCGGAAGGACATCCTGGAGGAGAGGCTGCGCTGTGATGAGGAGAGTGCATTGCTGTTGGCAACACTAGCACTGCAGGCAGAGTTTGGTGATTACCAGCCAGAGGTACAGTGGAACCCGTTCACTTGTTCATTCACGTACTGTACTTGTGAAAGGTGGATATTAAAGGAGGAGTATCTGGATATCTTTAATTGGTCACTTTCTGTTCTGTGCTGTGATGTGCTGCTTGTATTTAATGAACTTTGAGGACATGGGTATGTGCCACAGCATGTAACCATTTTCAGCGATCGTCTTTTTAGTTGCAGTTTTGTTGCTTGTTCAGTTTTGTTTAAAGTTCCTGCAATTGACCCACTCCTCCAAGCTGAACACATTGTCTATACTACCCTTTTGTTCAGGCCTGCACTTCAGCTCACTCCCAGTTGTACAAATCTCAGAGCAGGCAGGCCCATGTAGTTTGAGAGCATAGTTATTTCTTTAAAAAAGCCATGTTTTGAGTTTACAATAGAAGGTAAATGGAAAGGAAGATCAGAATCCAGCATGCACAGGACTGGCAAATGCTGGAGAACAATGCAATGCCAAAATTCATTGCATTGTCCATTGAAGTGGGTAAAGATTTGAAAGCACTGTAGTTTATACAACAGTTGCATTGTTTATTATTTCTCTTTTAGATTCATGGGAAAAGTTATTTTAGGCTTGAACATTACTTGCCCATCTCCGTGCTAGAGAAGGTGGACCAGAGGACTGTCAAGGAAGAGCTCCCTAAACTGCATTCTACCTATACTGGGGCTTCAGAAGCAGAAACGGAATTTGAATTCCTCAAGGTAAAAAATAACGGGTTTACACTGCCGAAACTTTTTTGGTTATTGAGTAGATTATTAAACTCTGAAATAGTTCTAATTTTAGTTTTTCCTCCATTTTTTTATGTGTATCATCTGCACTTTTGTAAAATTAAATAGATAACTTTTTCCTGATATTCTGCATGTCCTTTGTAGCAAAAACAAGTTCTTATGACACGGCTAGTTCTAGGAAACCACTTGGAAAAGTTTGTGTTGTATAACACCGGTGATCTTTCCCTAACTTTTTTTCTAATATTTATCTAATCCTTAATTCTCCAATTTTGTTTTCTAAGTACAGTCTGTCCTGTGACCTTTGGCAGTTGAGCTTTAGCCTTTAAACACTGGATCAGATAGGCCATGTGCTGGTTATCTGCAAATTTGTTTAACATTAGTCCTGAGGCACACTAAAATAGTACTCATATGAGAAACAGTTGCAGGTCCAAATATCTTCAGCCTGTTTATCAAATCAGTACATTCATTGGAACATTCACTACTTGGAGTCAATTAGTGTTCAGTCTTAGTGGCAGTATCATTAAATATAAGTAGGTTTGCAAGGGAATGCTTTGCTTAAAAGTGAGTCAAGATCCTTCATGACAGTCCAGTCATTGCTGGTTCAAGCCTGGATCATGTTAGTACCTGTCTGTGACTGGAATTCCCCAAGTGTGGAAAACAATAGGCCAAGGTGCTGTAAGGATGGAGTGGGGGTATGGCAGCCAGTGGCCTTTTGGTGAAAGATAGACTGCTGTGCTGCAGTCTTGTAGTGACATCAGCAAGCAACGTGCCATTCCTGCAGTGAGTGTGGGCTCTCCTGGATGGGGCACTGTGGAGCTTGCAGGGTGCAACTGCGATCTGAGCTTTTCTATTCTCCCAGTGTGACAACGGTCATTGCCAAAAGTCTAGGTACTGTACTGTTAATTGGACATAAAATATAATTGACAATTACATAATTAAAAAGAAACCTAAAAAAACTTTGGACCTGTGATTCAAATGCAGAATATATCATTAGAAATGTGTATACAGATATTTAAATCTAAAATAGTTTGTACCATATATCCGTGTATGCACAGGCAATACCTATAATCTAATTGTTTTTCCTTTCATGCAAATCAGAATTGAAAGGTAAAACTATTTTTTATTAATTAGCTGTTGCTTGGCATACTTGTTTTCAATATTGCAGTCTTAGTTTATTGATTTATGTAATTCTTGATCTTTGTCATTAGGTCATTGAGTATTTGCAAACCTGTGTTGCACAAATAACAGAACTGCATTGATCAAGGCATCATTCTGAACAATTCTAGTTTTAACAGACATGAAATTAGATTAAATAAAAACGTATTTCATTCTGCAAGCGCTTTGTCCCAGTATGCAGAAATTAAAGCAGAATTAAACACCTCATACCCCATGCATGACAGTGCCACACAATTTTGAGGATAATGTCACTTTCAATGGTGAGATGAGTATTACTGAGTAAAGAGTCTCAGAGCAAAAAAAAAAACAGCAACCAGCTAATAACATAAAAATAAATTAAAATGGATTAAAATTTGCATACTTAAATACGAGATATTTTAGGAACAAAATGAAAGAAATCAGAACCTGTATGCTGATAGATTTGTAACTCTGGAGATGAAAGATAAGGAAATCTTTAAAATCTTCAAGCTGCATCACAGGACACTATTTAATTCTACTTATCTCTGTCTCCAACAACCCTAACCCTAACCCTAACCCCCCCCCCGGCTACAGGTTTGCCAGAAGCTCACAGAGTATGGGGTGCACTTTCATCGGGTGCTCCCAGAAAAGAAATCGCAGACTGGGATCATGTTAGGAGTGTGTTCTAAAGGTGTGCTCATTTTTGAACTGCTCAACGCAGCTCGCACCCCGGTCTTGAGGTTTCCATGGAGGGAAACCAAGAAAATCTCTTTCACGGTACGGTTGTATTCTTTTGTGTCTCTCATGAAGAAATGGGAGGGAGGGGGAAATGAAAAATGTACCTTCCTTACAGCATTTAAATCCTTTATGTTACATTTGGAGTCTTTGGATTATTAATCTACTCCTTACCCAAAAAGCAACATGTGCCTCCTGACATTCACCACTGCCATTAAATTATAGCTCTTTTTAACTGGATCCAAAGGAAAACAAGCTGTTCCATGGTCTAAAACAAACTTCAGCTGATTGCTGCTTTGCTGCTAAAGAACAGTTATACTTTTTTGCACTTAATGATAAACTGTTGCTCTGGCTGTTCATTTAATCTTCACTAGATCACAGTTTATTGAAAAGGTGTTCATTGCTCTCACTCTCAGTTTAGCATGTTTAATTATTATTTTGTTAATTTTAAATTATGATGTGCAGTATAGTTTTGCTGAATAGAATGTTTGTCTAGGCACATAAATTGTTTGCATCTATACTGTAGTTTAACTGCAGCTGGAAGCCTGCCTACAGCCATAACACAAACCAATCCACTTTATGCTTGTAAAACTGTAGGACTGAAATGCAGATTTAAACAGACTCTGGGATTAGTGATCCCTGTAAACTTTACTTGAGGGGTTGATGAGGCATAGCACTTAGCAACTGTGATGTTAAGTGAAAGCAGCTCATCTTTTATAATTAGCAGACTTCTTTTAAGTGGTTAACAGAGTCTGCTGATTCCCTTTTGAAATAAGCACCAAAAGTGAAGAGCCCTAATTATTCCTAATTCTGGATGCCTTTACTGGACTGTGTTTATGGAAGATTTTCCATTTCTTCATTGTCTGTAGCCTGTGTCTACAGGCTAAAACTGGATTTTATCTTCCTTTACCAGAGCAAGAGTTGGAGCCAAGAAACCTGTCGATGCCACAGTATGTTTCACATTTGGTATTGAAACTGTACTTCTTTTCTTCCAAAGAAAAAAAAGATCAGCTTGCAGAACACCTCTGATGGGATCAAGCATCTGTTTCAGACAGACAGCAACAAGACCTGTCAGTACCTCCTTCAAATGTGCTCTGCTCAGCACAAGTTCCATCTGCAAATGAAAGCAAGGCAGACCAACCAGGAGCTCCAAGACATCGGTTAGAGCACTATTCTTCGTATCTTTTTGAGATCTGTTTATATATATGACTTTCTGTCTCTATACTCTATATTTTCACTACTTCAGAACTGAAGGTCATTGTCCATTTACTGTATATGTGAAATATATTTAATGACCCTTAAAGCAAGAATGATGTGAACTCATTTTAGTCAGTTGTCTTTTCCTCCCTCCAGAAAATTCCTCTTTGGGCAACATGAACTATCTCAGTGCGACGCCTCCTAGAAGTGGATTGGGACACGCCATGAGTACTGCTAGCCTTGCCCCTAGCTCCACTGGGCTTTCTGCTGACCTGCAGCCTGTACATACCGACCAGCTGAAGAGGATCTCCCACTCTGAGCTTTCCCTGAATAAGCAAGGGCCAGGAAGGTGGCAACTTGTAGTGGACCCCCCCTATCCCAGTTTCGGCCCCAATCCACGAGCGATGAGCAGATCACACCATAATCTTAGCCGGGTCCCCGAGCCCCCCGAGGGGCCTGGTGGCACGCATGCCAGCCAATCCCGCAGTAGCCTGAACAGTGCCCATCTGCTGGCTAATCCAGACGGGTCCAGACTGCTGGCCTCCCACCAGAGAGCCAGCTCTGACACAGGCTCCATCACTGCGTCTAGGAAGCACGAGACGTGAGTACATTGGGATGCACTGTTAATCCTCAGAGGTTTATGAAGTAACAACTGTTAAAGCAACAATTAAACTGATTGTTACAATCCTGTATTCTGATTATCCATGGAATAGTCATGTTTAGTCATATATAGTCATGTTTATTCAATAGTCATGTTTAGGAACTACTTGGGTAAGGCGGTGCACCTCTGGTAACTCATTAGGATATTGTAATGGCATGGAGTGGTGAATGACCAATCGTGAATTCTAAAATCATTTACAACAAATTCCTTTTGTTTATAGCCCTAAAAAGCAAAACAAAGCATCTCGTTTGTAGTGTGGTTTGTGCTGGGCACCTTACAAAGCTGTCAGCGATCGCTTATTTGAATGTTCCCTGCAGCACTTCTTGCTAGAAAAGCTCTTAGGTTGGTATGACAGATGTTAACAAACTGTTTTTTAGCTAATAAAAACTAATATATTAAATTGAAGATCTTATACGTTTGCAGTTACAGCAGTAAGGCTGTGTATTGAATTGTCCTGATTTCATGCATTTAGATTCCTAAGAAGATAGTGTGCCCGTTTCTTAAAAGAAAACACATCCCATGTGGCATTTCTGCTTGAACTAATCCAATATCTGCAAATTAAATAAGACAAATCCTACTCTGCATTTCCCTCTGCTCCATTGGCTCTGATAATTGCCTTTTCTCTTTCTTCTAAAAGTGTTTCCAGCTCCAAGTCCTTTGCAGGCTCGACTCGAAACCCTGAGAGATCCCTCAAGGATTCTGACTCTTCCTCCTTTGAAGAGACAGGACAAGCCTATGTCGTAGGTCAGGACTTTTTTTAAATTCTCATTTTCTATGTCAGCTTATCATGGTGTTTATTGTAGCCTTGCAGTAACATGCCAGGTAATTAGAGCTTTTTAGCTCTAATCATGAATTGGTAAAGCAATTTTAATTATTTACTTAATGTAAGATGAGGTTGTAAAACTCTAAAACCAGTATAAAGTTTTCTTCAAAGTATGCTTGGGGTTATCTTTTTTTGGTACATTCAGGCTGTGTTTGCACACTTGCCCCCTTCACATGCACGTTCTTGTTGAAGTTTGCAAGGGCTTAGGGTATTCCATCTCTGAATTTGTGTTTCACAAGGGTGCTCATGAGCACCCCGATGCACCCTTCTTTGCAGTCTGCATCGGAGCGGACTCCTCTGAAGGGACTTACCCCCAGTTCTTTTTTGTGTGTTCTTTCTCATCAAAGTGGAGTTGCCATGGAGAATAATTTTTAAAACTCATTTTATATGAAACAATTTCTTTAGACTACTTTAGATTCATACTTTATGTATTTCTAGGTATGAAGTTTTGACACAAAGCTTTTATTTCATCTCCCTGTTTCAACTGATAAATATTTGTTTACCTGTGATGTATTTTGTACATGGAGTATTTAATAGTACAACCTTTTGAGGTATTGCCAAGTCTACCTTATTTAGTTTCTTGTGAGTGAACGGGAATGAATGCGTTATGTTCCTCATACTGCCTTTTTTTGTAATGGGACAGATTAAATGATGTGCATTTAGTAATTTAGCTTTGAGTACATAAACTGGTATTGCCATATTTTCCTTAGTTTGCTTAGTTTTGAGGCAAGCCTGCTCAAGTGTCCTTGGTGTGTCACTACTTTTATGCAGGGACAGACCAGGTGAAATTCAATTTTATCAAGATGTGAGCAATGTGCACTTAGCCACCGCAAAAGCAGCATCAGCTTCAGAAAGTATTTTGACCTTGAGCCATGTAACCTTCCACTGACCTTACCCTTTTTATAAACTGCACCCTCGAATATTCATGCACTTGAAGTCCACACATGCACTGAAGTGGGGACATGGAGGAAGGGCTTAGGGTTCAGTACGAGAACTGGGACATCATGACCACAGACTCTCCTCCAGTGAAAATAGATGAGGGACTAAAATATCTGTTGGTCTCAAGAAGAGTTTGAAATCAAATCGTTTGGGATATACAGTAATACATAATATACTAAATGTTTAGAATTACAGTAAACCCAGTTTTTTAGCAAAGGTTGTTAACATTTAAACATGATGGGCTAATTTTAAAACTGTTAGGGGCTTTTGTAGTTTAATTAAGCATAATTAATACAGTTGAAAAAGCTATTTGTCTTACTTTCCAAAGGAAGATGAAAAAAGACAGTATTATTAGCTTTCTGTGACTGCTGTGGCATCTTGAGCAATTCCAGAGAGATGGTCAAGTGACCACAGCTCTGAGAGTGCTGCCAAGATGTCATTGGCTTGACAGTCAGCACTGAAGCAGCTTTTCATGGTATTGATGAGGGCTTCATCAATTCTACCTGCAGTGCCCTGACTCTCACTGTACAGTAGCAAATGGTTTAGGGCACAAATAAGAGGTGGACATCCCAACATTGAAATATCCTCTGAGATATGTACGTCTTTGTATCTCCTGTGTAAGTATAAAGGGTGCTACAGTGAGCCCAGCTGATAAAAAGTGGGCAAAACCAAACTGGAGAAGATGGAAAGAATGCTTGCCAATTCTGTTTTTTAAAACATTGAAGATCTCCTTGCAGCTAATACCAAAACTATTGTACTGTGATGAGAAAAAGACTGAACTGTGCTGCAGTGGTTGATTACAGTGGACCATCAGTTATGGTTTTTGGTTGAAAAGAAATGACAATGTCATATCTTTTTATAGGGATAAGTATGCACAGCTCTGACATGCCTTCTACCCCTGGCTCTTTAAGTGTGAATGGTAGGTTAGTGTTTTTTTCCCCTTTTCTTTAAATCTAGGGTTAAATTTCTTTCAGTCTTTACACTTGTAAATATAATTTTGCTTTACTGTCTTCTGTCACTATTTCTTGCCCTTCCTTTCTCTACCATCCTTGCAGACATCTGCTTCAGGTAAAAGCATTGTTCTTTATTGTTCCTTCCACTGTTTTTCTTGTTTCTGTTTTGTATTAACTTTAACCCTTTTCTTCCCTGGGGGCTGTTTTTTCAGAGGTTAGTTCTCATGATGGCGTAATGCATTATAGCAGCTTTTGCTTGGTGTATTCCACTTAACTGTGTTATACTTTAACTTTTAGAAGATGTCTTCAGACGATCATATTTTGAAAAATGTGACCCTACTCTAAGTCTGTTAAGGCAGAACTCCCTAAATAGATTTTGTTGTTCAAGGACCTATGCATATGAACCCCATGTTTCCTATGTTACAGTTCATACAGCAGCAAGATAAGCTTGCACAACTTTTCTCTTTTAAAAAAAAACACTGGGGTCTCCCTTTTAGTTGAAGTGCCAACAGCACTTGGTCTGAGCACAGACTAAGCTCTGTAATATTGATATCGCAAGTATTAGCCTCACGTTGTAGATGGATGATTACAGAACATGTCTGGGCTCGTTTTTGATATTAGCCAGAGTTGTTGCATCTTTGTGACGAGCATCTAATCCTAAAACTTCTCTGGGGTTTACAGCGACATGAGGGAGTTGCACACTGCCAGTTAACACCAACTCTCAAGGCATTGCAGAGCCTACATTGTATCAGGAGCTGAATGGCTGGATGGGTGGGCATGTTGGATTTTGTCTGCATACTCATTTTCTCACGTAGTAGGGGGCCCATTGCTGTGAGCAGAGATGTAAATCATTTTCAATTCCAGTTAGATGGGCATGAAATGTAAAGCACAAAAATGCTTAATTTTCTACAAACAGAAGTCTTTTTTTCTGCTGTTTCAAAGTTAAAATGGATAAACAGTTGAGCTGGTTCTTATCTTAAATGTGGTCAATTTGGGAAGAATGAGGTGACTGTGATCTTCAAATTGTGCTAAACACAGGGCATTTCCTTTAATTGCTTTGTGCTCTCGTGCGTATCACAAAATTTGTGAAGTTTCGGTATACTTGTGCATTCTTTGGCCTTGCATTCAACTTAGAATAACTTTTAGTTTGGCTTAATGTAGCCAGCTAATGCAAATCAACATGGCCTAAAACATTGTTTTGCACATAAAGTAAAAATACTGTAGTTATAGAAAAGGTCATTTCCTGTACTTCATTGTCACAAGCCAGAAGTAACTAATTCAGGACAGGGGATTTTACTTGTCATTTCATGCTCTGCAGTTGAACAACTGAAAACCAATGTAATATAAGAAATAATTAAAGGTTATTTTAGAATCTGTTACAGACACTTGGGGTCCCCTTTAGAAAATCTCTAGATAATTGAAAATTATTCAATATTGTCCTAGTTGTTCTTGCAATTCTACTGAAAACAAAAGCTTTACAATTTACTTACCACAAAATAATATGTATTGATTTTGTGACCTTCTGAGAAACCACCCCCTGCTTGAAAATTCATTAAAAAATTTGCTTGTAAAAACGTCACCCTAATTCATACTAATATTGTGCAAGAGTGCAATGCATGGAATCACAATTGTGTAAAGAATTTTGTATTTCCTTTTCCAATAACTGAGCTTTTTAACATGTGGTCACACTTTAGTAACAATAAGGTCAGTCTGTAGATTTTCCATGAAGACTCTTCGAAATAGTTATAGTATTCTTAAATTTAAGCTTAAAAAACAGACACAATGGTTGAATCTTTCAGAATTGGTTAATTTATTACTGAATATACAGTGGTGTGAAAAAGTGTTTGTTTCCTGATTTCTTTTTTTTTTTGCATGTTTGTCACACTCATCAAACAAATTGAAATATTAGACAAAGATAACACAAGTAAACACAAAATGCAGTTTTTAAATGAAGGTTTTTATTATTAAGGGAAAAAAAAAATCAAACCTACATGGCCCTGGGTGAAAAAGTGATTCCCCCCTAAACCTAATAACTGGTTGGACCCTTAGCAGCAACAACTGCAATCAAGCGTTTGCGATAACTGGCAATGAGTCTTTTACAGCGCTGTGGAGGAATTTTGGCCCACTCATCTTTGCAGAATTGTTGTAATTCAGCCACATTGGAGGGTTTTCGAGCCTTAACCGCTCCGAGCCTTAAGGTCATGCCACAACATCTCAGTCGGATTCAGGTCAGGACTTTGACTAGGCCACTCCAACGTCTTCATTTTGTTTTTCTTAAGCCATTCAGAGGTGGACTTGCTGGTGTGTTTTGGATCATTGTCCTGCTGCAGAACCCAAGTCATTTCAGCTTGAGGTCACGAACAGATGGCCGGACATTCTCCTTCAGGGTTTTTTGGTAGACCGCAGAATTCATGGTTCCATTTACCACAGCAAGTCTTCCAGGTCCTGAAGCAGCAAAACAGCCTCAGACCATCACACTACCACCATATTTTACTGTTGGTATGATGTTCCTTTTCTGAAGTGCTGTGTTACTTTTACGCCAGATGTAATGGGACACACACCTTCCAAAAAGTTCAGCTTTTGTCTCGTCAGTCCACAGAGTATTTTCCCAAAAGTCTTGGGGATCATCAAGATGTTTTCTGGCAAATCTGAGATGAGCCTTTATGTTCTTTTTGCTCAGCAGTGGTTTTAGTCTTGGAACTCTGCCATGCAGGCCATTTTTGCCCAGTCTCTTTATTATGGTGGAGTCATGAACACTGACCTTAACTGAGGCAAGTGAAGCCTGCAGTTCTTTGGATGTTGTTGTGGGGTTTTTTGTGACCTCTTGGATGAGTTGTCGCTGCGCTCTTGGGGTAATTTTGGTCGACCGGCCACTCCGGGGGAAGGTCCACCACTGTTCCATGTTTTCGCCATTTGTGGATAATGGCTCTCACTGTGGTTTGCTGGAGTCCCAAAGCTTTAGAGATGGCTTTATAACCTTTTCCAGACTGATAAATCTCAATTACTCTGTTTCTCATTTGTTCCTGAATTTCTTTGGATCGCAGCATGATGTCTAGCTTTTGAGGATCTTTTGGTCTACTTCACTTTGTCAGGCAGGTGTTTTTTTAAGTGTTTTCTTGATTGAGAACAGGTGTGGCAGTAATCAGGCCTGGGTGTGGCTAGAGAAATTGAACTCAGCTTTCCAAAGACTCAGCTTTCCACTTTTTCACACAGGGCCATGTAGGTTTGGATTTTTTTTCCATTAATAATAAAAAAACCTTCATTTAAAAACTGCATTTTGTGTTTACTTGTGTTATCTTTGTCTAATATTTCAATTTGTTTGATCTGAAATATTTTAGTATAACAAACATGCAAAAAAATAAGAAATCAGGAAGGGGGCAAACACTTTTTCACACCACTGTAAATTGACTCATTTTTATGGTCACTGTTAGTTGCCTCTTATGCTTGGATAATATAGGTCTTCAACTTTAATGGGTATTTCATCCAAACATTTCTAGAATTGTTAAAAGCTTTCTTTAGGTGTTGTTGGGGTGCTCTCATAGTTTGCTGCTAGTAATTCCTTTGCAACAGCACAGCTTTAGGTCTCCTTAAGTAAGTTCCTATTTACTACATTTGCTAAATATGTTACAGCTCTTTTAAAATAACATTCAGAGGTCCTAGAGAAATTGAATTCTACTTCCCTTGTAAAGTGTTTTGATTGATATAGGGTTAACATGGAACTGTTCCATCAGTATCAATTTGTGTCTTCTGTTCCTTTCTTTTGTTCGTGCCAGGCATCCAAAAACAAATGCTCTAATTTATATGCCAACTGGCTGGTTGTTAAACATGGGTCATTAGCCGTTTGTTGACCTTCTGTCATTCAAGACAGCAGACAATTAATGTGCATGATTATAACCTTTCAGATGTATGCAAATTGTCATATAATCACATATGTAATTAATAGCAGCAAGCAGTGCAAATGTGGGGTTTGATAGTGGTAAAGTTGTTAGAATTATCAGAAATGGTACATTAAAACATTGTGTACTTGCTGTGATGATATGGCATGAAGAAGCAAAGCTGTTTTACTTGATTTATTTCTGTAGCAGCCCTGAAATATACACATATATCTTGAAGTGAAGTGTTCTGCATGGCGACTTTTTGCATGACCAAATTGTTTTCATTGGTTTTAAAAGAAATATAAATGTTTTTGATGTAAAACTGATGGATCATTTTATGTAACTTTTAAATTAACCAAACAAGGCCAACAATGCAACATAAAACAGTCCCAAAATAAAACCAGATTTTCCCTTGTTCTTTATATTGTGTACCTCCTGGTTTGCTGTAAAGCAGGATGTCTGATAAATGTTCCTGTGTTGCATTTGAATAGATTCACTGAGACAGAAGCTCAATGCATTACCATCTCCAGAGAGAGAGATTACAATGGTGAATCTGAAGAAGGATGTGAAATATGGCCTGGGTGAGCCTGCTGTATATTCCTGTGACATTGGTCACTGCAACTGTCAATGCGCTATAAACTGATTACACTTCGGGAAATGCTGATAAATTCCACTGTGTATGCAAAGAGGTTATCAGGCTTGTACCAGATGTTTATCTTGGACTTATTTTAACAATGGTTCTGTATTTTAATGTAGTTCAGTGATACTGTGGTCTCTTTTTTTTATTTTATATCGTTACCTTCCTGGGAAAGTGGAAGTGAAGAAGTGAGAAGTTCTGTGTAGAATTGTACCTTTAATATTAACACACATTTGTTTGGTATGGATTCCAATTTTTTGCACGTGTAAAAACTATTAAAACTGCGGTTTGCTTCTTTAGGTAGTTTCTGAACTGGTTATAGACAAATCAAGCCACTAAAGATGGGACTTTTATTTATAACATCTTAAAGACAATTAGGCTTTCTATTTCTGGGATTTTGATGATTGTAGTATCATTTGATTCGTGTTTTAGTTTTAATATACCCTTTTACATTTGTGGTAGTATCTTCCTTACGTTTACATTGGCCAAATTGTTTTTTGAGAAGAAAGCTGTAAGCCTGTGGCAAATCTCCTGAAATACCAATGCTCTAGTAAAAGGCATACCTATTTTTTTAGATGTGCTAAACTGGAGCTTTTTACGATTCAGTTATTTATAAGCATTTTTATCACACATGAGAAAGGACAGGATAGAGCAAGCTGTTTTTTTTGGCACATGGATGTATAATGTGTTTGAAGTTCTATATGATGTGCTACTGCAGGGTTTCAGATAGTTGGGGGAGAGCACTCTGGCCGGAAAGATTTGGGGACATTCATCAGCTCCATTACTCCAGGGGGACCTGCTGACCTTAATGGGTGCTTAAAGCCAGGTATGCTATTTGGGTTTGTCTGTCTGTTTGACACAATATAGTATTGTCTGGGGTCTCATGCTGCTTAATTGACTGTGCATTTTTGCAGGAATAGGATTGGAATTAGCCAGACCAGAGCGCTCTTGGTGTTTTAGCCAAGTGACACCTATGACTTTCTGGGCATGTGTAGGCTAACCGTGACATCAGTGATAGATGTGCCACAACTTCAGTAGGTTCAACCCCTTCCCATAAGGCACTGTGGAGCCTTAATGTGAAGTGACGATTGGGTCTGTAGGTGAAAATGTCTATAAAAATCAATCAATTTATAACCACATGAAGGAACACATACATACTGTAGAGATGTAAGTAATATCTTCCAGACTTTTGCATGATGGAAAAAAATCTAATTAATGCTCTGCCTAAAGTTGCTTTTGAACATATGACTTAAAAAAAGATTTGCTTGGCTGAGATAATGATATCCTGTGATTGGTCTATCCTTTCCTTAGGAGATCGACTAATTTCTGTGAATGACGTGAATCTGGAGGGCATCTCCCATGAAGCAGCTGTAGAAGTCCTCCAAAATATGCCAGATGATGTCACACTAGTGGTCTCGCAGCCAAAAGAGAGGCTTTACAAAGGTACATCATTATTCTGTATTTACTATTGACAACATGATTAATGATTTCCCTTTGTTTGTTTTACTTCAGAGGAATAAATCTCTCCTATGTAAAAGACAAATCAAATATGCATCCTAGAACGTATACCAAGAATGTGTCTATGTACTACACTCTTTATAAGCAGAAGACAAAATGCATACGCTGGTTGAAATATCTTGGAGAAAAAATCATGATCATTTATTGTCATCAAGCATCATAACTATAATTTCCAAGTTAAGCACTCTGATACTGAGAGCGAGTGGAGGGAATAGAAAGTTGCTTTTGCTTTTTACCGTTTTGGCACTTTCACACATTGTTGGATGAGAAAAATCTGCACTTTAAATTGGCAGAAATCTCAAGGCAAGTGTGGATGTATTGTATCAGTATGGATATTAAGATGCAGATTAGAAGGCATGGATAGCATAATGTGTGTCCAGTAGATAACCTTTTAACTTATGCATTTATCATTAGAGTCTGGAGTTATTACGGATAACCCTATGATGTCTTATTTATAAATCATGGGAAACAGAATTGCTTTAGGAACAGGAGGAGATCGATCAGGCTGACTAGTCTCACCCCAGATCAAAAGATGGTGCCATTCTGTTGCGAGCCTCTGTGTTTCCTGTACCAGCATCATGGTTTCCTGTCTTATCTTGATTACATTTATATGACGTTTTCTATAGCTTGGATCTGTGTAGGAGGTGATGGCTTATAGTGCTGCTACTGCAGTCAAGCCCTTATTGTTGGCTGGATCTCTCATAGCTGCCTGATTCTTGTTTGGGAGTTCCTTGATCAGATGGAGGGAGATAACCATTAGAATGAAAAGGAAAATCGAATAGAAAAGTTCAAGAGATGATGATAAAATAATGCTGTTATATTGGAGTATAAAAGCCAGAGTTTCTATTAGTTCATCTACTTTTGCTTCTGTATTGCTTTTCTCGCTAGAATCTACAAGTACATTTCAGCTCAAGAATCAAAGTCGCGCAAGGTCACCCGGACAGAGGCAAAAACAAGATGATGAATCCTCATCAGAAGAACACAACAGGGCCCCGAGTTGCTCCAGACCAGCTTCAGGCGGCTCGGCGACTGTGTCATTAAGCAGGCAAAATGGCAGCATGAGTTCACAGGATTCTAGAACCGAAAGCGCAAGTCTCTCTCAGACCATCATCAATGGCTTTCATAAAAAACAGGTCCCTGATGGAGCAGCACCACTTCCTTCTTGCCATCCTGAAAACGCAGTGACTTCTGACACGCCTGCACCAGCTTTACCTCCAAAAACCTGGAAGGGACGAATTCCTGAAATTGTTAAAGACCAATATGATTCAGACAGAGGGGACTCAGACATGGATGAAGACACATGCTCAAGTAGCCAGGAGAAGCAAATGTCTAAAGTAAGCAAACTTTGTTTTTTCAGGAGTCAGGATTTAACATTTCCTAAAAAAAAGTGTTGTGTATTTGAGGTGTGAGTGAATGCACGGATGTTGTCGTTCACATCTACTAGAGGGATTGAGAAGCAGTGACAAACAAAACAAAGAGCATAATGGCATTTGACGTATACCCTTTACATTAACATGCTGATTGTATTGCTTAAACTATTAGAACTGCTAAGCACATTGTATGCCATACAACTTGAAATTATTTTTGATTGTTTTAAATGATAGTTACAGGTAAAAACTATAGCAATAGTATTAAATATGTATTAATTACTATATCTTTAAAGTTGTCTTTCTTAAATTGTTGCAATGTCCAGGTGGAGATTGTCAAAGAGCAAAGTATTTTCAGTAAATAAAGTATATAAAGAGAATATTGTGGGTTGATTTGTCTCCTTCCTCACAATTGATGGTGTATAATCAGTTACAGCACTGACATGCCATTCACGTTATCTGTGTAGCAGGCATGCTCAGTTAAATTTAAGTTTATGGGGTAAATATTTAACATGATTCTGGAGTGCTGCAAAAGAGTAGCCAGGGCTACACATTTTGACTTATTCTGTTGTACACAGTACGCTTACGGACAAAGGTGGTTTTATTTCATAGGTTTGTGCAATATTTTGCTGAAATCTTTTCACAGAATTAAAATGACAATATGAGATTTCATTATAAGTACATTTAATTCAGTTAATACCTAATCATTCAGGCACACAGTATATAAATAGTTCAACCTAAGAGTTTTTTGCTTATTACTTCTGAATATTCCATTAAATTTGCATGCATTTGTGAATGAGAGTGCATTGCACAAAGCATGCTCCTTTTCTCAGCTTTCACAATTTATAACTTCCAAGACTTTTGCATGTATCTGTTTTCTTACTTCAAGTTACAGTCGTGTGATGTTTTCTGTTTACAGGGGTTGTCTCCAAGCAGCTCCATGGAAAAATTAAGTGGTAATGCCCAAGGTGTCAATGATCTCAAACCTGGAGATTTATTTGACGTACACTTGTCCAAAAAGGACAACAGTCTGGGCATAAGTGTCACGGTACTGTTCGGCAAGGTTTTTGCACTTCTTTCTTTTTTTTCTTAACTCGTAACTGTTTGTGTTTGTCTCTAGCCTCACTGCATGTGAAGTGCTTCGCTTTGCTTGATTACTTGGGAAGCAAAAAAAAATGTTCCTTTTCGCATGCAAGTATTTGAAGCATTTGAATGCAACACAAATTCACAGGGGATGTGTACAATAGGTACAATGACTTATTTGAGCATGCGGTTAAAAATCACATATTAAGAGTGAACCACAATGTATTCTTAATTTGGTATAATGATCTTGCTAATATCTGTGCCTGCACGGATTTCTGTTTTTGAATACTTGATAGTTCTGGTGTGTGGAAAAAGTCTGATTACTTTCAGCATAATACTTCATATCTTTGTGATCTGAAGCATGATTCTCTTAACAATTTGTCTGATTACAATCTTAACACTGTTAATTTACCATATTACATAAGAGTAATACACTATTTAATTGGATTGCCCGCTGCTTTTATAAATTTAGAAGGGGCTCCAATTACATTATCTAAACTGTTATCAATAAGGAATACCTGAATCAAGTTTTTCATTGAGCACAAAAACAGTAAAACACTATAACCACGCTGTAGCTGCTTGTATTGAAATTGAGTGAATTGTTGGCTTTTTACTTTGCTTTGTTTGCTTACCATAACCAAACAAAATGGAAATGTACTAAACTCTGATTCTGGGGGTATTTATACCACAGCCTGATCACTTTACATGACTGAGATAAGTTGGTAATTGTTTCTTTTCCATTCCAGGGTGGGGTGAATACCAGCGTGAGACATGGAGGGATATATGTCAAGGCCATAATTCCTAAAGGGGCAGCTGAACTTGATGGGAGGATACATAAGGGTACATTATGGCTACGGTTTTGACTTCTTATTTGAATTAGCCTTAAACTAGGTGATATTGGGACTACCACTCTTCTTTTCAGTCTTTGCAAGCAATCCTTAGGAAGAAAAGTCAGTTAAATGAAATGTTGCAGTGATTATCGAGCTTGTAAATATTGTCCATGCATTGTTAGCTTCTTTCCCCTTCATTGGTGTTTTCTCTTTAGCCTTTTTTAAAAATATGACATGTTCTGAAAGCAGTAAGCTCTCCTTTTCAGATGCTGATAACACCCAATGTAAACTTCAGTAACATTTTAAACTTCAAATTAAAAGGTAATTTTGGTGGCACACCTGTGCCTGTATGCATATTCTCAGCCCTAGTTACCTTGAGAAATTCTAATATTGCCTTTTTTGCTTGTTAGGTGACCGTGTGTTGGCTGTTAACGGGACTAGTCTGGAGGGTGCCACTCACAAGCAGGCTGTGGAGACCTTGAGAGATACTGGCCAGGTCAGAAACAATTTTCATGTCCTTTTTTAATTAGTGCAGGCATACCTTTGAGAATTATATCTCAAGTTCTGTACTACATCCTTCTACAACCTGCTTGTAGTGCTAAGAAAATAAACAAGTTGGTTGAAATATCCAGAAAAAATGCTAATGAGCAAACAGAAGTGTCAAGCTCCTGAGCTCATTTTGTTTGAAGCCTCGCTTTTGCTTTATTTTCACTTTTTAGCACTTTTGACCCCACAATGTGGAAATTGGAATTAATACCATTGGTAAAAAAAAATTCCACCACTGAAACACATCTCTGGCAAAACTGGGTTATAATGACCTCTGTGTGTGGTTTCTTATAGCTCTTCACTTTGGTGCAACGTGTTATAAGAGGTATACATACTTTTGTTAATCGTCATTAAAAGTTAAGATTTTTGTGTTTTAGTGGAGAATTGATGATTGTCAATTGGCTACTTCCCTTTGCGTGTAAGAAACAGTATTCAGTTTGTAACATTATTCTTTTGACACCTGGATTGTCTTTTGCTGCTTGACATGTTCTGCAGGTAGTCCACCTGTTGCTGGAAAAGGGCCAGCTTCCTGCTGCAAGAGTGCATGCTCCTGTCACCCCACAGTGCACCCCTCCATCAGTGTCCAATGTGCAAACTGATCAAGAGGTGGTGTGTGAAGCACAGGGCCCACCCAAGGAGTACAGCTTCATTAATGATGGTAAGGAAACTGAACTTGGTTTTAATCAATTTTCCATCGCATTGGCCCAACTACAATCTGTCCCAGGGGTAAGGAAATAATTTCATTACCAAGTAGGAATTTAAGGGTTGCTTAACTGACCCAACTGAGTACTTAAAGAATTAGGAAATACCTGTAAGGGGTGGTTTCAAGTTTGCCTATCACTGCTTTATGTTAAAATGACTACACATTGGCTATTTCAACAGCTTTTGTTCTTGCAAAAATATAGCATTATTCAGTTATGTAATGTGATTTGAATTGCTGAATGTTACAGATCCTTTTGCCCTCAGTGAATATCTGACAAACCAGAGTGAGGGAGCAGTTCTGAATACAAGTTAACAGGTTGGCTTTCAATAACAATCAAAATGTTCCAGGAATATTTTGAATGGTTAGACCCAGAAGAGTGCTCAGTTATTACTCTTAAGGATAAGGAAAAAGTATAAAATTTAATGACAAGGAGGTGTAATATTAGTCTGCTTTTAAATTAATTTTTGTACTGTCAATCTCCACAGACAATGTGTTTGAAGTGAAGCTGCTGAAGAACACGTCAGGCCTGGGGTTCAGTTTCAGCAGGGAGGAGAACCTTCCCATTGAGCCAGCGGGGGCCAGTGTAGTGAGGGTGAAGAAGCTGTTTCCAGGGCAACCAGCAGCGGAGAGTGGCAAGATTGAAGTGGGCGATGTCATTCTCCACGTCAACCAGACCTCCTTGAAAGGGCTTTCGCAACACGTATGTCAGTTCTTTACTGTCCAAGTTCAAAATGTCAATTTAAGAATACATGGAACTGGGCTGTGTAATGTGTATTCCTATCCTTGAGGTTTTTTTATACCAGCTCACTCACATGGTAGAAATAAAGTGTAGGATTTCTCTTTGGCCTTTCCTTTAAAATTATTTTGAATTCTAAAATATTCAGAAATAAAAATCAGAAAAAAAATCATACGATCTTTAGTACCGTTTCCTTATATTAAAGTTTTAAATTTTATAGTTATATAAATTAAAATGAATATTCAAGTTGTGATTATTGGTTGTTAAAGGGGAAGGTTTGCCAATATACAATATGTTATTATTCAGTTTTATTTTACTTGAAAACTTAAACTTACCTTCCATATTGAAAAATGTGTTTTTAATACAATAATAGTCTTGACTTCACCTTCATGTTATTTTTTCTATTTTTCTTCATCTTTATGCAGTCTATATTACAATGTATACATATATTGGATATTGATATGGTCAATATTATTTTAGCAATTGCAGTCATCCTCATCATTATTTTTGCTGTTTGTTGATTTTAGGAGGTGATATCGGCACTAAGAGGGACAGGGCTAGAAGTCACCCTGCTTTTGTGCCGTCCTCAGCCAGGAGTCATTCCAGAGATTGATGCAACGTTTTTGGTAAGAAAAGCTGAACCTTTATATATTTTTTTTCATTAATCATGCTGACATTGTCTGACTATCTAGTCATTTAGACCATAATGCAGACAAATTTCAGACTGCAGTGGGGTTCTGCTCACAGAAAGTGGCTTGAACCTAAGGTACTACAGTGGGGCCTTTAACACTTCCTTCACTCAATAATCAACTGTAAAATATACTATACTGTGATACATATTAAAGAGATTTAGACATCCTCAGAAGCTTGTAAGAAACTGTTCTATGAAACAAAAAGACAAATGAAAAAACAACAACTACTACCACATGGAGTTGTCTCTTTTTCCTGCCCAACTTCCAGACAACCAGTTTTGAACTACCTTAACTGCTTGAGAGTAAACAAAAAGGCATAAAAAGATTATTTAAGATATATTAAATACATTACCAGACAATTTGACATACACTCAATATTGGGACAGGACAGCAAAGTTTTAAAATCCCCTTTGGTCTGTTGGCAGACACCCATGAGTTCTCCTAGGAAGGAGCTTTCAGCACCTTTGGAAACCAACCAGAATAAATCGGCCCTTCTACAGAAGGAGCAGAGCGACAGCTCAGCTGAAGAGATTGAGGAGAAGGTAGGGGAGGCTGAGGATGGACTGGAAAGGCTCCAGATCAAATCTCCATCACGGCGGGACAGCTACAGCGACAGCACGGATGATGACGAGGTAGAGAAGGCCTTCAGCCCCTCGATGGAGCAGAGCAGTCAAGCGTGGGATGCCAGTATCTACCAGACCCCCAGCTTAAGCACAACCCAGTATGAAACTGCCTGTGAACTGGAGGACACAATACAAACTGCTACCTATTCGCCTCAAAGATCACCCAGCAAGCCAGAGTTTCATGACAGGTTGGAAAACCAAAACATATGCCCTTTGTAGGCTTTTCATAAAGGTTTTAGCTCCTTGAAACTGAAAAGAAAAATTTTATTGGGTATACTTATTCTATGCTCCATTGACTGTTCCCATTAGGAACATTGTTTCCACCTGTTTTTTCATTATTTCCCTCTATGTTTTGAATCCTGCTAGTTACAATACAGAGCTGTGGTTTTGAAAAACCCACCACTGTGTTGTGGAAGAGCTATTAGCTATCAGAACTCTTGGGCTAAAATAATCTTCCCTTTGACAAAGAAAAGTTCAAACCTCTTCACATGAGATGTTTAATGACGCAGTATCTTCTTACTGTAGAAGAGCATGCCTGCAGGGAGATGACCCTATAAGATGCTTATACTTAAACTGAAGTGGGAGGCCATACTTTAATAGTACTATTGTTTTCCTTTGCAAATCATTGAATTTCTTTTAATGTTTTTTCTTTGCTCCATTTTGTATGCAGTGCTGTCTTAATTTCTTCGATTAAGGCTAATTTACAATGACAGGGCTCTGTAAACTAGGAGGCAAGATGGCTTACACTGATATTTAGGTTTGGTTTACCTTGTCTCTCTCTTTTTTTTTACTAGCTTGTAATTGGTTTTCAACCTGTCATTCTAATCCTTGCAGCAATCCTCCCTCCCCACTGCTGTCTGAGATGGAGCGCCATCCACAGGCTGAGGTCCCATCTCCTACACCTTTGGATGAGAGATACTTCATCTCTAGCCCCAGCAGTCACTTGGCCACACCACTTGCACATGAGCGTCAGACACAGGGAGTAGAAGCCAATACAGGCTCACTCAGTGACAAAGGCCAAGATCTTGAAGAGTTTGAACCTGTAAGAATTTTGAAAAATGGGGAAGGGTGGAGGTAGAGGCTGAAACATGTACTAAAACAAGAGTCTGCAGCCTTGTGTCTGGAGAGCCATGGTCCCTACAGTTTATATAGATAACCTTAATGGCCAGTGAAATTTGGAAAGCCTCAAGTTAAGTGACTGAATAATCCATTTCTGCCTCTATAATCAGCTGGAATGAAAATCAGAAAACACTACAGCTCTCCATGACTAGGGCTGCAGGCCCCTGTGCTAAGTATAATCTTATAGAGCTTTAACTGTTTTGCAAACTCTAGAAGCTGAAATTCATCTATAATACTATTTTTCAACAAAGAAAACATTCCACATCGTAACCAAAATACAAAACTAATGCAATTTTAAATGACAATTTACAAACCCAATGTTCTATTGCTAAAAATATCTCAAAGTAAATTTGTCAATTTTTATGCGCACACTACTAATTAATGTCGTATGACAGGGACTAGTCTACATTACAGCCACAGATCTCCTGTTTGCGTTGCCCCGTTCATTTCCATGACAAGAATTCAACTTCTTTTGCTTGCTTCTACAGCTGTGACATCCAGTCCTGAGATACTGAAGTTGTCTCTATTCATAAATTATTGCTGAACAGATAACTTTCTGTTACCATTGTTATAATAAAAATTACAGTTGCAATAAATACATTGCAGTCAGTAAGTAAATTTGGCTCTGTATTCCAGCACATTGGATTTGAAATGAAAGAATGACTGAGGCTAGAGTGCAGAATGTCACCTTTAATTCGAGGGTATTTACGTCTCCTATATGGTTCACACAATATAATCAGAGCCCTCTTTATAAATAGTTCCCCCATTTCATGGGACCAAAGGTAATTGGACACATTAACATAGTCTTAAATAAAATTTGACATTTTGCTGACAGATGCATAATTATTTTTTTAGAAAAAGAAGCAAGAGTGTGTTAATACACATTACTGTACAAACAGTATTTTTAAAACTTTTTTCTTCGTCTTGTGATCTCAGAGCTGTTTTGCTTTTGGCTCTTGTTTTCACTACCACTCTTGCAAATCTGACCTACTGTTTTTTTTTCCCCTTGCCTTCTTTCTCTTCCACATAGGAAGCTGAGCTCAGTGTCTCTTTATTGAAGTCTGAGAAAGGTAGTCTGGGTTTCACTGTCACAAAAGGAAATGATCAGAGCTGCTACATTCATGACATCATCCAGGATCCAGCCAAGAGTGATGGCAGGCTGAAGCCAGGGGACAGGCTCATAATGGTATGTGGAATGGTGACAGCTTTCTCTGCAGCTATGCTTGTGTTCCAGAAAAGTTCACTGATTCAGTAAACTGATTGTAGAACAATGCTTGTGTTGTATTTCTGTTTAATACTTGTTCTTTTGATGGGGAAAAAACAATCATTACATTTAAGTATAAGAGGTTGTAAAATGATTAATTTAGACCTTGCAGTTTCAAGTTAGGTATTGTTGATTAAATCCAGAATTTGTTGCACCCCTAATAGCAATCTGAGGAAGGTACAGTAATCCAAGTAATTATTTTCTGGTTAATATCAAGTTGCTACAGTATGTCATCTTGTTTATGTAGTCAGTATTTATGTGTAGTCAGATAAAAAGCAGTCTTGATAGGGAGATGTGTCCCTTCACATAGATGTTGTATTTTGTTAAAGTTGCAGCTTGAATTTTTTTTTTACAGATTTCCAAGCCTCTGTTCACTATTAAGTACTGGTAAACGCTAATGTTTGAAACCAATAGAAGTTATAGATTATAAATCCTGTATGACATTTGCAAAACAAAATGCTTATCCTTTTAAAAGCTGCACTCAGACTAGTGTACATGTTCTTTCTGTCTTTGCAGGTGAATGGGACTGATGTCAGCAACATGAGTCACACTGAAGTAGTCAATGTTGTTCGAGCTGCGCCCAAAGTGGTTGATTTAGTGATCGGCCGCGTCTTGGATGTCCCAAAACCTCCTATAGAGCCCCGTCTTCTGCCAGATATTACATTTCAGTGCCAAGAGGAGAAACTAGGTAATTGTTAAATGTTTTTTTAATATTTCTTTAAAAGATCAGTATCCTGCAAAATTCTTCCATAATCCCCAGTAATCTTATATGCTTATGGTTTACATATCTTATATAATATGGATCCCGAATACTTGCTAAAAGTAATAAACAAAAAACCTGATGAGTCTAGCATCAGAAAGGCATTTTATGCAGCCAAATGTAACAGAAAACTTGGCACACATCCTAGCCTTTAATGGCTCAGAGCGTCTGCTTCCCCTGGGTTATACTGGCTGGAAAACTTGCAGGCTGTGCAGGAATGCCACATGTTATTCCAGCAGACTTGGCTTTAATACACAGCATAAGGGTGCAGGCCTTTATTATATCAGGTGGTGTTTTAATGGGGTTGACCAGAATCAACAATCACTGTAGGTCACTTCCACTGATGTTGTTAAGTTAGGTATGTGAAAAGTATGTCGTTTAGGAGATTGGCGATTACTAATAATTCTTCACTGTCAGTTTTTATAAACATGTAATATGTTACTATTACCAAAGCTGTTTTTTCAGCTGTGATCAATATTGAAAGGGTATCAATATCCTTCAATGGTGACATTAATAAATACATTTTGAGAATGATTTTCCTATATATGCATCTATTTATAACAATGCTTATTTTTCCCCTCAACTTGTAGGGCTGGTTCTGGGAGGTGGCAGTGAGAGTCCATATAAGGTGTTATATGTGGCAGACATTATCCCGGGATCAGCAGTTTCTGTACAGACATGTCTACGACAGCTCGACCTCATCCACTACATCAATGGGACTCTAACTCAAAACCTGTCTCTCATGGAGGCCAAGAGTCTCCTGGAGTTGTCAAAGCCAAACATTATACTGAAAGCCACAAGGTAAACTGCACAAGGAAGTAAAAAAACTTGTAATATCTGATTAACTGATTATTTTTCAGTAATACGGTAGTGCATTTTCTCATGACACTTCAAAATAATCATTCTCTTGACTTCAGATATATCTGTCTGAATGTAGTATCTGTCGCTTGTTGTATTAATTACTACAGTGTATTATGACTGGAGGGTATAGAAACAAAAGTAGAAGAGAGGTGTTTTAGACTCAGGTGAATGGCCACATTGTACTGTAGTATCATCACCAGCAGGTATATTTACATTTGGACTTGTTGAAGATACAATAATTTAAGGTCACGCACTAAAGGAAATGAGAAGTACAGTTTACATGCTTTAATGCTAAATATTATTGATTATTTGATCATGGGAATACTGATCATTAAATATTGTAAAAGAAAATATATGCATGGCAGATCTCCACTGCATCTGTTGATCGTAATTATAATGTTGACTTTTGCCATACATTTTAAAGAATGCACTATATACAGTATAAAAGAAACCAGTTCTAGAAATTGAAACAGTGTCTCACTGGTAAGTCTCTGAGTTTTAAACATTGCCAGAACGTGCCTATTCACATGAGTACAGATTAGAAAAAGAGTGTAATTTGTAATGGGTTGCGATTGTAGTTGCACCCCAGTTGGATTTTCAGTCAGGTATTATCAAGTGAATCGGTGTCCAATGGTTGTCTCCCTTGCATACACAAAGAAATTGCTTTATCTAACACTCTAAGTAAAAATGCAACTAAAAAATGTCGCAACTAAGCAGGAAATATTTGGTTTCTTTCCTTGTGAAAATAAATTCTGAATATTTCATATTTTTCTTTCTAGGGATGGTAGACCACTCGCACCAGGAACAAAAAGACTTGTATCATTAAACAACCTTAGTCTAAAATTAAACGGATCCTCTGGTGTGAATGGTAAGAATTAATTGTTTAATAAGTCAAATGCAGGGCAGTACCTTCACTCTAGTGCCTATAGCTATTGTACTTACTATAGTAATTTTTAGTGAAATTATTTATTAGACGTTTAAGTAGTGTAGGTAGTGTTAATGCACAATGTATAGCATTAATCAGTTTGTCCACTTCTCATTAAGGCTTGTGGGTAATGAGTAACTTGCTAAGTGTCCACCAATAAGGAGGTTTCAAAGTTTTTCCTCCAGGAAATGCACATATGTTGCTCCTAAAGCATATATTTACTAGCAGCTCTGTATCTGACTAAGTGAAACTACATTTTTTCATGTCCCATCACATAAAGGTTATCTCCATGGAGATGAGAGCAATGAATCTGAACTCTACACATCTCTAAGCCCCTCTGAGGTAAGACTGGCTAAACAGTTCCTTTCAATTTATTCTTAATAAGTAAAGTATTGTCTTGACTAGTGTTAACAGTCACATCTTTTCAGGGAAGAGGTGTTAGTGGGGCAAGCAGGGGGCGCTCACTCTGAGGTAAATGTGAGTCCTAATGCCCCAGTATCGTGATGGGGACGCTATAATGTAAACGGGCACCGTCCTTTGGATGAGATGTAAAACCGAGGTCCTGACTCTCTGTAGTCATTAAAAATCCCAGGGTGTTTCTCGAAAAGAGCAGGGGTGTAACCTCGGCATCCTGACCAAATTTCCCATTGGCCCTTACCAATCATGGCCTCCTAATAATCTCCATCTATGAATTGGCTTCATTACTCTGCTCTCCTCCCCACTGATAGCTGATGTGTGGTGAGCGTTCTGGCGCACTATGGCTGCCGCCGCATCATCCAGGTGGATGCTGCACATTGGTGGTGGTGGAGGGGAGTCCCCATTACCTGTAAAGCACTTTGAGTGTCCAGAAAAGAGTTATACAGTATAAGTGTAAGCAATTATTATTATTACGATTTAGGCTTGAGCATAAAACTAGATCTAAAATAAATGGTTTAGGGGTATGTTTTATTTTTTTTTATTATTCCAGGTCTGTGTAATATTTCAGTTATATTTTTTTCTTTCATATTTCCAAATTTAGCCCAAATCCTGCATTTAATGAATGTGTAGACTTGCCAGTATAAAATGTGACTTTTTTGGTATAATGCTTGGGTTGTTTTTTACTTTGACATTTTGATTCCATTGTGACCAGTTTTCACCATTAGGAATGAGGAAGTTGAGATGAGACCCTACTGAAAGTTAAACAAGATGACACTTTCAGTGATTCTACAAGGCCGAGAAGATAGTAGAATTCTTAGATCAAGGCATTTGAAACTGCTTCTACCAATTATCACATCATATTGCATTAATTGCTGATAATTGACTGTTTATCCATTTGTCCTTGTGATTTCTCCATTTCAGGAAAGAATAATTCACATTGAACTGGATAAGCCTGACTCAGGAGGTCTAGGATTTTCTGTGATAGGTGGAGAAAAGGGCATTTTTGTGAAGTCGATCACACCGGGAAGTACAGCTGACAAGGAAGGAACATTACAAGTCGGAGACAGGTTGCTGCAGGTAAAATCTAATTTTGCATTATTTTTATTAAGAGAATCAAAGCTGATGTTAAAATAATTTTGTGCACTTAGCTCTGTATTTTCACAAAATTTATTTTAGACCTCCACAAATTGATAGAAAGTCACGAGAAAACATTTACAAAACACTACCTTGTGTATGGTACCGAAAAGCCCTACAGATGGCCAGTCTTTGCTTTAGTTGGTCAACTACACGTACAAGATGAAGAAACACTTAAATGTATTTTTCTTCCAACATTGTTTTAAAAGCCTTGTGTATATTTGAGTGCTTTGTTCAGTTTTATATAACCATAATCAGATTTTTGAGGACTGTTGTCAACAATTAACATAAGCTTGTTTTTTAAACACTTTACTTTGACTATTTTTGCACCAAAGGACCAGATGAAATTCCTTGTACATGTACAGTAATGTACTCTCCAAATAAGTGATTCTAATTCGTCTAATACATATGGATTGTTGTACCTTCTTTGATTGCCTGAATTCAAGACCAGTTCAGACTAACGTGATTTTGTTTTACAATATTTTAATTGGTTCTGCATTCTTATCAAGTTCAAGCAGCTTGCTTTAATGCTCTACCTTGAAGTGCTATCCCTTTCAAATCGCATGCTGCTGAGTTCAACTGCAATGGATAACTTGTTAATTCATTTTATGTATTTTATTTAAAACTATAAATATGAGAAATCGGAACCAATAAAATTTTTTTATATGCTAGTATTTATTATTTTACTTTCTCTTACTTGAAATTTGCATGATCCCACTGGAGGGCAAAGAATGTGAAAATTGAGTGTGAGTGATATTAGTTTTAGAGATATATATATATAGTGTGCATGTTTTGCAACTTTTAAGTATTTTGTACCCTGGATTGTGGGAACTCTGGACATGTGTTTGTCATCAGGTCAATGAGGAGTCGATGGCGGGAGTATCCCACCACAGAGCTGTGACCACAATCCGCAAAACCCGAGGAGTGGTGCGCCTTACAGTCTCACGGCCTCCAGGAGAGAGTCCGTATGACTTTCTGCCATTGCTCCCGGCAAAACATAAGTCAAATAAAGGTATGTGCTTCTTGATTCATCATCGTCTCAGGATATAGCTAAGAAATCTTTCAAGTTCTCACTGTAACAGAGTCACAAAAGCTATGTGTTTAAAAAATGGTTACTGGTGGAGTAATAGGGATTGCTTCAATATTATTAGGACAGTCAATAGATCATTGCTTCAATGTCTGCAAGGCTTTCCAGAAATACAATCAGGCATTGCAACAGTATACTGTCATATAAACATAAACATTGTGCTTCCTGGATTAAAATTACAAATGTTTTCTGTTGAATTTTGAATTTTGATTGGTGTCAATTTGACTATTATTTCAGATACTGGCTATGACAATGGCGTGGAGTCTTCACTGTATAATCATGCTGATGGCCAGATAAGTAATCCACTAAGCAAGGCAAAAACACCACCATCTTTGCCTCCTATAGGTAAGATACATGTTTTTATTAACAACAGAACGAAGGGACAAACAAAAGTTTGTCATTCTGGTATAGGCTTGAGTATAACAGTGGTACTTAGTAGCTGACCGAGTGTTGTGGATTATGTTATTAGTACTGTAATTGAAAAATGAACTATGTAGTGGGGGAAAAAAAAGTATTGGGAAAGGGTCTGATGGTGTGTTTGTCATTCCAGATTATGTCTCTAAGGCATTAGAGGTGCTAAAAAGGGAGGAAGAGGAGACTCCTCTGTCTGAAGATACAGACTGTGATGGCTCTTCTCTGCCTGAGGACTCACCAGAGGTAACACAGTTGGACAAAGGGAGTGTGATCTACAATAGGACTCAAAACAACCTTTCTGTGGGCATGGCCTGTATATTTGCATTGTGTTATAGCAGTAAAACACAAAATACTATACAAGAAAACTAACCAGACCTCCTTTATTATTGCAGGCATCAAGAAAATATGGTTGGAAAGAAGAATCTGTGGATGGCCCGCTTCTAGAGAGGTAGGGTGAAGGTTTTAGTAACTTTTTTAACATATTTTTAAGCCTATAGAGTAAATACTTGTTGTATTTATTGAACTTGATTGTGGTTATCCAGGGTAGTTAGTCTTTAATGGTTTCTTGGAAATTTTATATTTTTGTTTTAGGGCAACACGTTTTTTTACTTTTCAATTTCAAGGCTTCTTGCTTATCTCCTGTCTCCTGCTCAATACGTTTCAACAACTTCATTTGATTAATATTTTCCATTGTATTATAAGTTTTCTTTGTCTAGTCCTCATTTGTCATTGATCCCCAGAATCAATGATGTCAATCAATGTCAGTGAAGATTAAATTGTTATTTTTGCTTGTTTTTCCAAGTGAAAACATAATTTTTGTATATAGCCAACACCATGATCCATGGCAGTTTATAATGTATGAATTGTGTTAAATTCATAAGAAACAATAGTTCATAAAATGACAAGATGGAAAAATAACATCTGATGTAATGAAATGGTTCGAATTAAAGCACTTTCACTTTCAACAAGCAAGCAATCGGGATCGACTCGCAGCAGGGGCAAGGAGAGCTGCACTCATCACATGAACACACTGCTGGGATCAGTTCCATATTTACAGCATGTGCAGTCTGCAAAATCACTAGATTGAGACTTAAAAGCGTTGGTGCAGTGCACTGTGAGAGTTGCAGAAGGATATAGTTAAAACCCTAGAGAGAACTTCTGCCTGACCAGATTAGACTTTAGCAGATGCTGGAAGGTGATTTAAATGTGTCCTTCTGCAACAGATTGTTAAAAATGAACAATTTTCCTAACATAATAGTACACTGATAGATTAAAGGCAGCATGGAAATTTGTATTTTTTCCCCACAAGAAATGGGAAATAAAATATTGTTTTTACGTAGATTTTTTGCATCAGGGTTCTGTTCTTAACATTGTCTTATTAATTCCTCTTTAGTTCTGCCCATAGTAGCCAGAGGTCCACTGTGGGAGCTGCAGATGAGGATGACATCACATGGGGAAGTGAAGAACTACCTATTGAGACTCTAAAGCCTATGGTCACAGAAGGTAGGCAGTCTATGTGGTATTTCTTAAGAATAACTGCTCAATTGTTGCTGTTCATGTATGTGAAAACTTTTTCTCTGTGGTACCAATATTTAATTGATTGTTTGCTTTAGTTAATTTCTGTACATATTCATTTACATTTACCTATTTTAGCTACATCTCTCTGATCTTAAAAATAAACTGTGGTGTTTGGTAATGAGTGACCATAAAACACATGAAATAATTATGTAATGGTATTTGTAGCCTTGAGCAGAGTTGAATTGGAAATAATGGCATGAAGTCTGTGAATTATTGAGCTCACCAAACTGTAACTATCCAAAATGCTTTGCCAAGCCTTTGTTGGAACCACTTTGTGTTCTTGCCTGTTCTTGGAGGGTTTTGACTTTTTTGCTCCATCTTGTAATATGTACAGTATGATAACTTGATATTAAATCTGGATATTTTACTTGACCCATCTAAGGTTTCTGAGTTTCATCTCAAGATTAACTCATTGGTTGCATTGGCCATATGTTTTGAGTCATGGTCATATTGCAAGTAAACCTACACAAATGTGATGGATCAGTTAAAGTGTGGATAAAGAAAAGAAATGTAGATGTTCCAAGAATACCACGTTGTGAGGCATGATATAATGTACTGACACTTGTGTGTTGTACAAAGTGTAAGAATAATGCTGTCTGTTTCACTCCTTTTACCCTTTTCAGATGGTCCTATAATAACTGATGAAGAGCTCACATCGCTTCCTCTCATCAATGTGATTCCTGGTGGCCAGTATACAGGGTCCAAGCTTAATGCTGTTATTCGCATGATGCGAGGCCTGCTAGACCAGAAGATCCCTTTACAAGAGTTTGAGGTAGCCATGGCTATCACTTACAAATATTTACACATTTTTGATAGAGCTGTTTTTTCTTGATGTAGATAAACAAAAATCCTATTAATGTTAAAACAAACTTGATAACATCTGTTTTTTTTGTTAAACATATTGGAATAAATATAGCCAACTGGGCAAAACATTAAAAAAGGGGGTCAGATAAACACGTCTGTCCACACTGACAGCTGCAGCACCGTTTTGCTGTTTGTCTTTTACATGTTCAATCTCTATAACCAAGTATGAGTAACAAGCATCGGCATGTCCACCCAGGCCTTGAAATGTTTTGTTTGACAGTTGTAAGACCGACAAGCAAAAGATGCAATGTGAGCAAACCGATAGTAGCCAACTAACCATTACTACTGAATCTGATTGGTATAGTCACACTATTAAATAAAAAAAAATACAGTAGTTGGATGCAACCAGAAGCACTTTTTCATAGAGCATTCCCAAACCCAGTGAATAGGTCAGTCCCTGTTTATCTAGAAGAAGAGAAAGTATTTCACACATCTAGACTGATCAACTTTGACTGGTATTATACGGTATATAGAGATAAAGAGATAAAGGGATGAGAGCAGACCCCATGAAAAAAGTAAGAAAATGATAGTCAACCCGTGGATGAGATGTTAGGGCAGTATAAAGTTGTACACCATAGGGGTGGATGACTCTGTGGAATTCTTAAGACCCTTAGCTAAAAAGCCCAAAAGTAATATAACCACTGCCTTTAACATGCTATAAAGTAATTAACCAAACCTTTGTTAGTTTGCTCCTCCGAATAAAACAAGTTAGAATGGAGTTAATGTTTTGGTGGTGAACTGAAATGAAAATCGTGGGAAATAATCCAAAGAAGTTTTGTTCGTTTTTAGAATGCAGATTCTACTGTGTAGTGTGGGTTGAAAATAATAGAAAAGAATCAGCTTATCAGCATAAAGTGAAGCCTGATGTTTAGACCCATCAAGGGGAAAAGTGCTGATGTGCTGTCTAATACCCTGAGCCAGTGACAATGGTGACAGTGCACATTCCCATCAAGGGGCCTCTGTCAAATGTAAAGCAATGGGATATTTTAGCCCTAGTCTGAACAAATGGTGAGGTGTAGGAATCGTACTATTTCATGACTTACTAAAGCCAAAAGTTTGAGGACGGTCCAAGTGTACAGTCGTTCTGTTCTATTGATCTAATGTCTCTTTTGCATCTAAACACAGCACAACACCACACTACTTGGTGAGAGGCTCTACAATGTATCTATAATGTGGAAACGTGTTATATTTCATTACAGAAAGCCTGTTGGAAAAAGCTAAATGTCAGAATTTAACAATGGAAGTGGCCGATAACATTCATTAGGAAGCTGAAGTTTTCCATTTATAATTAGGGATAATTGAAGTAATTTTAAACTAATCTTTTAATTCAAGCCACACAAGATGTGTCAGGATATAAACATACAAACAGATAGGTATAAGCACAGTGGTGGAAGGTAGCCTGTACACTTGGAAGTTTGATGCATATACTGTAATGCAGAGTGCAAGTACTGTACACATTGTAGCCAGCCTTTAAACAGAGATATAATCAGATGACATGAGTGGATATTTTCATTTGCCCCGCAAGAATGCAATACTGGGTTCTAACCCTAACCCATATGTTTCAATATTAATTCAGGACAAACTGATGTGTTGTATTTGTTGTTGTGATAATGATTAGTTCTAGACATTGTTACTGAGTTTTTGACATTTGAATCAGAGTCTAAAAGTAAGGTAGTAATCAAATTGTATTTCTGAGAGGACTTTCTTGTTAGTCCTCTTTACTCAGTATAGCCAGAATTTCCATTTGTGAATTCTTAAGTGATTTGTTTTTTGTTTTAGAATATACTCTATATTGATTCTTGTATGCTGCCTTTTACAGAATCTCCAGAATCTGCTGCCATTGGATAACTGTTTAATTGGGCAGACGAAGGAGAACAAAAAGAAGAACAGATACAAAAACATTGTTCCCTGTAAGTACAGCTGATCCTCTTTGTGTCTCAGACAAAGCCTAGCTTTCTGATCCAGGAGAATAGTAGCCATGAGACCGCTTTAATTAAACGTCCTCATCTAAATTTCAAATAAGCAAGCAGCTGTGTTCTCATTTATGCAATGCAACCCTCTTCTCCCCAACAATATAATAGGTAATCAAGCAGATTTTGAAAAGCTTTGCAAAGTGTCTTTTCTACCAGTCCTGAAATTCATCAGTGATAGAAGTATGACTCATTTAGTTTTATTTTCCTTCATCTGCTGTGTTGAATTCCAAAATAAATAAGTGACAAGCTGTACAAAAAATGCATCACTATATTTACTATTTAAGATTTAATATTATATAGGACAATATTTTGTCATTTCTGTGAGTAGCAAAGGCCAAAAGAGGAAAAATAGTAGAATTGAAAGAACAGATTGCTTATTTTGTGTAATATTTCCCTAGGTGAAAATTAAGTCTTGTTTTGCTTTGCTCTTGCTGGTATGAGCAATATAGTATAGAATTTGCATACATTAAAAGTGCTGGATGTCCTTCAGTAAACATTTTGTTACATGTAGGGTGTGAACAGTAGTACTGAAATACTACACAAAACAAAGTGCAAACCATTTGTCTTGTTTTCAGTTGACACAACAAGAGTAGTTTTGGGAAAAGACGGAGGTTATATCAATGCCAGTTTCATAAAAATGCCAGTCAAAGACGAGGGATTTCTGTACATTGCCTGCCAAGGGCCCCTCCCAACAACACTGGCTGACTTCTGGCAGATGGTTTGGGAACAAAAATCCAACGTCATTGCCATGATGACCCAGGAGGTGGAAGGAGGAAAAGTGAAGTGTCAACGATACTGGCCTGATACCCCCAGAAGTCCTGAAATGGTAGATGACAGGCTTGAGTTAACACTGATCAAAGACCAACATTTGGACAACTTCGTAATTCGTCTGATTGAGGTCAAGGATGTTCAGGTATGGTTTCCAGCAGAATCCTCTGTGGAATGTGCAACCCTCTATAACTGCAGTAGTTTCTGATAGGATTTAGATTTAATTTACAAACTGATCCAACATTATAAAAACTTCTACTTCCACTACCATTTCAAAGCTGGCAAGCTGAAATTTTTAACTTCTTTGTTGGTGTGTTTTTAGACTGGCAAAGTCCAGCACGTCACCCATCTGAACTACACTGGCTGGCCAGACCATGGTACACCAACACAGCCAGAGCAGCTGCTCACCTTCATCTCCTACATGAGGCACATCCACCAATCAGGACCCATTATTACTCACTGCAGTGCTGGGATTGGCCGCTCTGGGACTCTGATTTGCATTGATGTGGTTCTAGGTCTAATCAGCAAAGATGTGGATGTGAGTATTGTACACTGTCATCAGTATTAAAACTAGAACCCAGGGAATGTTGAGTCATTTTAAAACCAATATTCAATATTCCCTATACAAGACAAATATAATGAGAAATGTGAACCTTGTTTTAAAATATAAATTTAAAAACTTTATTAGGAGTATTAGTATAAGTTAACAACTCCAAGTTATTAATTTGCAGAATAGTTTTTGGACATCTATAGTATCAACATAATAAACTAAATCAAAGTGGCAGGTTATTTGTTCTTGTGGGTAAATTGAAGTACAAACTACTTGTATGAAAAGTGCAGATCATTTCATTGCAATGCCGTCAAGAGTAATGCACGCACACACAGCACATCTTATAGTCCAGTCTAATGTCACTGTGTAGCTGACAAAAGCCTAGAGAAGCATAATGAAAGATCCTTAAAATAATCAGCACAGATTAACCACCTTTGCCAATTGGTCTGCAATCCACAAACATTGCAACTGTGTTGCACTGAACAGCTTCACAGCCACAGCGAGAAATCTGCTTTTAATGTTATTTGTTACTTGCAAAGTCTAATCTTGTTTTTGTTTGAAGTTTGATATTTCAGATGTGGTCCGCACAATGAGACTTCAGCGACAAGGGATGGTCCAAACAGAGGTGATGACTTTTGTTTCTTACATTATAACATTCTACCACTAGCTAGTAATGACGTGTGTCCGATTCATTGATGTGAGCATATAACAGCAGGAACAAAGGACTAGCTTTTTACCTTGTTGTTCCATACTGTATGTGCATTTAGTCTTTATTTCCCTAGTGTGCAGAAGACAAAAACCATAAGCATTCTGTAATAAGCTTTATGTGCACTTTCTTTCTGTGCTATTTCCAGTCACTACCACACCATGCAATGATGGCTCCAAACAACCTTTTATTTCTTAAAATTATTTATTCCTTTAAAAATGTCTTTTAATGCTTTTGCATGGAACAATTCAAGAAATTCAGTTCCTCAGTCCAGTAAACATAAATATGTAGGTACCTATCCATTTTCCCATTTGTTATATTATTTGTACCATAACAATGAATAATGTTATTCTGTTAGTGGGTGCAACAGTGTGAGTTCAGTCACTGGAGTCCAAGCAACTAAACCTTATTGCGTTAAGACCATTCTGGGCAAGTTTTCACATTGGAGGCCAAGGTGCTCCAATTTCAGATTTCTCAGCTATATTCCTAGGTTTCAGAATTCATTCTAAATTCATGATCCTGAAGTTCTGCTAATATTAAGTAGCAGTCAATCATGTATCTTTGGTGGTAAGATGAAATGTTTCAGTGGCTCTCGTTCATTTCCATTTTATTTCCAGTTTCAAAGTGTTTCTAATTATTTAGATTCAGTAGTATGTTTTGCTTGTGGACAGAAAAGCTTATTATAAACATTTGTTATGCTTTATTTTTAACAGGAGCAGTATATTTTCTGCTATCAAGTCATTTTGTATGTGCTCAGATGTCTTCAGGCTGAAGAGAAGATCTCAGGATAGCACATTAAAGGTTAACAGTGAAATGATATTGGAGCCCCCACTTTGGTGAAAACAATGCAGTCCCCTTGATAAACAGACACGTTTCTATATAAAACAACTTTTTTTTTTTGCCATAGAAGGATGTTTTGTGGAAGTTCAGAAATGGCCTTACAATAGTTGTCAATAACATTTAAAGGAAAATTCTGGGGTCACTTTGTATCATTAATTTACTGTATACTGATTGCTGCTTCTATGGCAACAAAAATATTGACTCTTATTAATTTTATGCCAGATTTAAAAAACAACTTATAAAAATAATCTTAACAATGAATTAATTTTACCTATATGGAACAAAGACATATTTGGAAGTGGTTTTAAGGATATATAAAATGCCTACGATACAAAAACAGTATTTGCTTTGTAAAGTTGTGAATTATCATACTTTCTGTGGTAATCAATGGAATTAAATTGAAATGTATATATTTATTAAAATGTGGGTACGTTTTTAATGTTTACAGGCCTTTTTGCAATTTGTAAATAAAAGTGTATCATACAGTATAGCTACGTTTCTCGATAATTTATTTTTATATTTTGTTTCTATGCCCAACTACCCCATAGGACATATGCTACTGGTGCAGTGTGAGACCAAAACTTAACTGACCTAATGGACTGTGAATCAGAAAAGGCCCTGGATTTAGAGAAATCAGATGGCATTGTCACCATTGATCTTGGGGTAAAATTAGACAGTATGCTTGCAATAAATGTATCCAAAGCTTTGTTGTATGAGTTTCAGCTCATTTTTGCCTGTTAGTATGCAATGATTTGGTTGATGTTTTTTTTTATTAAGCTTTTGTAAAGATTTACATCATGTCTACATTCTAGAGAGCACGTTTGAACAATTAATATATTGACCTGTCCTTTTGGAGGGAAAAAGGACTTGACTTGATCTTTGTAAAAGGACCAGACCACAGAGTGTCACCTTGACCATTCAGTAGTAGAGCCAACATTAGTGAAATAAAAGTCAAACGGCTTTATTACACAGTGTACAGGTTGGCACTATGGTGTTGTCACTTCTTTTATTTAGAATGTAGATGTTTGAACTTCTGCATAATATATAGAAACTGCATTGGTTGCTTCTGTGCTAGAGGTCATGTCCTTTCAGGGAAAAATCTTTTAAGCCCCAACTCTGCCTGCCCCCAGAATGCAAATATTTGGAAAGTATAATTTTGTGAAAATTTCTGGATCCTGACAAAGTAAATGTTTAAAATGATTATTCATGGGTGCATATGAATCCTCTAATGAAACGGATCACACAGGCAACCTTTATCAGTTTTCCTGACAAGGGAGATGAACTGCTTTCTTGAATCATTGGGTCCTGAATAAAGAAGCCTTTTCCTTCCCTGAGATATTATCCTGCGCCCCAACAACATACTGTACAAAGAGCTGTATGTAACAAAACTGCCTGCTGCAATTCTAAAAGTAAGATTCCAAGAAAATATTGTAATTGATTGTCGTGAAATATTAAAAGTGCCCTTGACACTAAGACAACAGTTAATATCACAGTAACTGCAAGTCAGACATGTATTTGTTAGCACGGTCTTAAGCAATATGCTGTACAGTAAACTTATTTTATAAAGTTATGAAAGCAGTCTGCAAATGAATTTTAATACAAAACAACATCTGTCAATCAAGCTGTTGTCTACGGCTGCTTTCCATCAACTTATAGGAAAGGTAACCAAAGTAATGTTAATTGTAGGGTGATGACTAAAATCTACTGTTGCTTAATTTTAATACACTTCATATTAAATGTTTTAACTTCTGGAAATACTTATAAACTGTTTAGGCCTTTTCATCATAAATAAGAAGTAAAAATGAGATCTAGCAGGTAGAAGTTTATTGCACGATGTAGTACAAGACTGCAGTAAGTTTAAGGATTAATGGAATGCTGAAAAGAAGAATGCAGTTTAAGCACCAACAGGTTAGACACGTTTTTAAAATCATAGCCATTCTGAAGATGTGTACAGTAAAAGTGTAAACCATAATTCAATGAATAGTAATGCATAATACATATTGATATTTCCTAGACAAATTCTTATAAACACTTAATAGTATAATAAAACCTATAAATTTAATCTATGTTGGTCGTTATAATGTACCCAAGAATATTACAGGGGTTTGTTTAACTGCTTATGTCATTCTGGAGTATAAAGGTACCTTTGTATTCAAATTTACAGGTAACTTTTCTCAGCAACTACACCAACAACAATAAATTGGTTGATGGGGGGGAGAATGATTTCATATCCCTGAAACAAACTTATTTGGCAGATGAAAGGGGCTATGATTGTGATTGGTTCAAATCAAAATGTGTACACATGTACAGAGAATAGTGTGCTCAATATACCACTAATCACCTTATTTAAGAAAATTGTCACTTTCAAGGGTAATATGAGAACATTGAACAAAGAGAAATGGTCACACTCCAGCTCAGTTCTTAGAGGTACTGTAGTATTGTAACCTATAATTAGATGTTTAATGGAAAAGGGATATTAAACAAAATAATTGACTTTTTTATTTTCAATTTAAATGAATAAATGCCGTGTAATACATATATTGTATATGTGTAAATCTATAAAGTATTGTTTGCTTCATATACTGTATATGAAATGATATATACTAAGGCATTATTGTACATGAAATAAATATATCTTTTTAAGGTATTCTAATTTGTCACTGACTCACAAACATCTGTTCTGACCCTAGTAAAGACGTTCTGCTTAATGAATCAATAATATGGGTTTTCACGTTTATGTAAGAAACTATAGACATTCATAACATAATGATAGTGCTTAATATTGTTTCAGGTGAAATGTGGCAGAAACTGTCTTCATTTGTACATACAGTATAATGTTTTGTTTTAAGAATTCAGAGCTATAATCTTAAAATTGTAACAATTCGTCCTCACGAACTATACGAAAGAAAACGTTAAGGTCCCTGTTAAAACGAGTGTCGGCTTTATGGTCTTCAATAGTTAATCTTGAATGTATGGAGTGGTATTAAAACCGCAAGAAATTAATATCAGTTGGAACCGGCATTTCTTGCGCCTTTAATGACATTTGGTATGTATACAGTATATGATGTACAATACTATTATTGCGATACCCATGACAAGGATCTAGCGTAAACAATCAGGAATACGTTCATCGCGATTTTCCTAGGCTAGGAAAGTGATTTCTGTGTAACGGACAACAAAGCTTGGGTCGAAAAGCACGATGCGCCTCCCTTTCGACTGTAATTCCCTCTGACCCCTCCTACTAGTGTCTACCTGCATCAACACTGATGCCTGCCTTGGTCTCCATGCTCTGCTTAGGACCGCTTTCAGCTGCTCAGACTGGCTGCACGGCTGCAGACTGTGGATCATGGCGGCCTCCATTCCAAAACCGCTTTCCTTTTTCAAAATCTACGGCGGTTTGCCTCAGCCTTGCTGTCAAGGCAAATCACGGGCTTACATGATATCTTGTCAACACAGACATTTTCATTTATCGACTCGTAGGTAAGAGGATGTTTTATCTCAATGCACCGGTACATTTACACCGCGGATGCTAGTGAGTTTCCAGATCTGTCCAGAGTCAGAAGGATGTTCGTCACGTGTCATTAGTTTTGATTTATTACTGCGGGAATATTTCAAGGAGAGCTGTGCTGCAAACGGAATAATTTCTAGTATCAAGAAAATGAATAATGTATTTAGCAGCTATGACATAATTGCGAATTGGCAACTAACAGCACTTCAACAGTTAAATGAACTAAGCGTAAAAGTGTAATATTTCCGTGTGCAATAGTTCTTAAGAGTCCTTGAAATACTGGACGTTATCTGCCAAATACAGCCGTCTTTAAGTTAAATCCAGGAACTGAGTATTCGGTTACCTTTGTTAATCAATTCTGATAGCTGCGCTTTTCATTTCTGCGGTATTACTTTATAAAAAAGCGTGTTTAAAACAGCACGTGTTTGTTGTATGCTATTGGATATCTCAGTTGTTTTATTTTCCCCATAACCTGTTTTTATCACTACGGGAAGTAGATTGGCGTTGTTTATGACAATAGGAGATTTTAGAACCACAATTTTAAGAGACAAAAGAAATCAAACACCCTGTTAGAAATCAATTGCTTGGCAACTGCTAAAAATCCCTTTTGGAATTGTGCATGCTTTTGTAATGTGTTAGAAAAAATAAATATAAAGCGACATCCTTCTTTTGTCGTGTAAAGATTGCTACACAGTAACAGTGAATTTTACTGAAGCTAGAGCAGGTTTCCTCAGAAGCTTCCAAACCATTATTTAAATATTTGTGTAGAACGGGGTTTGTAAGTGGATTCATTTTTGTGACCTGCTGCAATTGTGATTATAACCCCTTTCTGATTGCTTCAGTCATGCAGCAAAAATAATCTCTGGTACAGAGCTGGCAAAGCAGATTCAGAAAGAAATTCAAAAGGATGTGGAGAACTGGGTGTTCCAGGGCAACAAGAGACCTCATCTCAGTGTTATTTTAGTGGGAGATGATCCTGCCAGCCATTCCTATGTGAGGAATAAGACCAAAGCTGCCACGACCTTAGGTGAGTTCATATTCAGATATATGATGCATTTCAAACACTAGTATGTTTTCATAGTTTTAAACAAACCTAACATGAATGACGGTCAACTCCTTCCTATTAGAACACATCATCTGTCATGTTATGCCCTCCACACTGAATGAAGAAGGAGATGAAGGTCTCTAGATGACAAGCAGCCTTTTTATTCTTTCAGTAATACATGCAGACTTTTGGGTGATTTCCAATTTTGGGTGATTTCTGAAGATATTTCCAAAAAAGGTCTAACACATCCTATGAAGGTTAGCTAAGTATATATTCTTCATAGAATAATTATAGGTGTTTTCTCTCTTCTCTTTTCAGCATGGAATAAACCTATTACTTGATCCTTCATAGGATGTGATAGATCTTTTTTTTTTTTCCTTTGGGGGAACCAAAACTTGCTTGGAATGAAAATCTTCAACTCACATGGACATTTTTCCTACTTTCCCTATTTTTGTGTCTCTATGTCACATTTACAAATTATTCCAGGTTTTAGATTCTTAATGTAAATTAGAATGAATAATGGCCCATTATCTCATGAGTTCTCTCTTTTCTGCTCACTATTTCTTAGCCCAGCTGTGCAATGTATAATATCTTGATTTCCCATGTTTATGAATTGGAGTTTTCATCTTTCTTAATGGAGTTTAATCAAAAGGTTTGTGTAAGTGATAGTGCATGATATTGTAACATACTTTGCGTTCTCTGCTAATATTAAATGTTCTTAAATTAAATGTTCAAAGAAATGTTTCATTTTGTTAAACAAAACATACACTTTACAAGTCCACATGGTGCCACTGTATTGCATAAATATGGATTTTGTAATTTAGTTTTATTTTTTCCATAACATGATATGACAGAGTTAAGGGATTGTTAAATAGTTTCTTACCTTGAATTTGTTTCCATTTATATGATTAGGTATTGGTATATTTTGGTTAGATAAAATTATAACAGTGTCAGAGTGTCAATAGAACTTGGCTAAGAAGACAAGTCTGGAAAGTAAGACTCTGGACTCAAAGGTGTCAGGAAATATTGAGTTTGTAAAATTGTGCAGTTCTTGACAACTTCAGTCTTTTCTATGTCTTCACTTAACTGATTGAAATCTGGACAAAGCATTTGCTTGCCATAAGATGTTGAATACCTGCTAGAATGAAATATTTATTCAATTAATTTGTTTCCTTTTTTATCCTCTACTGTTTATTCAGCATGGTGATAAGTGTTTTTGTATGGGTGTGGTTCACACCTGGGTTTACAGGTGTATGAGTGTAGTGTTTTTGGTATAATATTTTTATTAATGCAGTCTCCTTCAGTTTTTCTAGTAGGGTTTGACATGTTTTGTGAGGTTTTTGTATCACTAATGCTGAATTCTCCTGTTGACATTAGCACTTATTTTGCTAATGTGCTAAATGTACAGTAGGACAATACTGCTTCATTATGCTTTAAATCTTCACTCTATATCTAGGTCATTTGGAGTCATTTTAATGTTAAAGCAAGCCTTAAATATCTTATCACTATATCATGCTTTTTTGCTTTGCTACTAAAGAAAATTACAGTGAGTTCCTATGAGCATGCATAATTACTTATTGTGTTTTTTCATTCAGCAATGATTATAGTGTGTCACTGCAGAATGGGAGTTATTCTTTGCATATATGTGTTTGACAAGGAGATATAGCACCACACAAATCATGCACATTCTGAAGATCTGTATAATTTCCAAAGAAACATTCACCAAACAGGAATTATTCATCAAAATGAAGAAACAAAGTCTTAGAATAATAAAAATGCAGCAACTAAATATTGGAGCCAACAGCAATAGTTGAAATCTGTTTTTAATGCTTCTCAATATACAGTAGATATGCTTTGATAATATACAGTCCAAGATTTTCATCCTGGCATCTGATCTAAACAATTCCAGATATCAATAAGGCTAAAAGTTTAAGTGTGCTGTTTATTCTCATTGACTAAGGAGACATTCATGAGGAGGTGCTTTTGGAATTCTGTTGGGATTAATAGAATAAAACATACATACTGTAGCCCTTTGTAAATAAACTCTGCTGCTGTGAAAGACGTCTAAAAAGTACCTATTTTTAATCATTTCCTGCTTCGCATGTCTAAAGAAAAGGTTGTACTAAAGATAGTGGATGTTTTCTTGTAGTGGAAATAAAAAGGTGTAGTCCATTCTGATTTCTAAAGCTCATTCTGATTTCTGGAGCAAGAAGTGGACTAAAGAGCATGTGAGTGTGCTCCTATAAGGGATGCTTGTTGCACATTGCAACAATTCCAGTTCCCACTTATAGAGCTGGGAGGACTGGAGCAACTGGGTGAAGTACATTGCCCTAGGGTACAAAACCAGTCAGCAGTGTTGACTTGGACACATACTGTACTGTACAGTACCCTGAGTCCGAAAGCTACCCACAATGCTAACGTATGACTTCCACTTTACGGTTGAAACAGTGTAAAGTGGGTGTACGGTACAGTATATTTTAAATTTGTAAGTGCATGAAATTCCATGTGTTAATCAGCTTATCTCATTGTTCCTATCCTTTAACAAACTTCGGGTGAATGAGGTTATGCATATTTTCCTCTGAGGCCCGTGTTGCCAAGCTATTAGCCATTTTATACACCGGAACTTCCAACGGGGATTACAAGGGAGTCAGTATTGACTGGAGAAGTAGTGTAGTCCTCACTGACAACATTACAACTTAGCAGGCAGACGGCAATTGTCAGGGGTCATCAGGGGTGACTGATATCCAGCAAACAGTGGGTATCCTGCCTGACACAAACCCATCTAACCATGGTGGCTATTGTGTACTGCTGTTTAGAAAGTGGACTGCATTTTGGGTTCGTTTGACTAATGGCACAGCACTGACTTAGCTGGATATGTTTATGTCTTTACAGAAATGCTAGCAGTTGCTTCATTTATGCATTACCAGATACTTAAACAGCATTGAGATTTTTTTCAGTTCCTGTGATCTTTAGCTGCTATTTCCATGCCAAAGTCTTTTTTTGTGTGTTGAAGTCTTTTAGGTTGCCACATATATTAGAAACACAATACTGTATATTTTGTTTCATGTTAAATGATACAATTAATAATAATTGATGCTGAATTACACTTGGCTGCTTACAGAAAAGCTGTCCACGACTCATGAACCTGAGGCAAAAAAGTTTTTTTGCTAATTAACGTGACAAAAATGTCAATAGTAAATGTAAAATGACAAGAAACATCTAGTGTAAGGGGATGTCTTCCATTAAAAATTGATCAAGAAGATGAATGGGGACTTTGTAATAGCCGCTGACAGACAGATCCAGAGTCAGAGAATGATATACAGTAACTGGGGTTCCCTATTGGCTTGCCTGGAGTGCAGGGTGAGGCCTGTGATCTCAACTTCATTAGTTCCAGCCTGGGTGATGCCACTAGGGGATTCCCCAAGCGGTGGCATGTAATTGGCAGCCCTAATTGATGGGGTTAGGGCTGGAATCAAGTCATCAGTGGCTCTGTTGACTCTCTGTGCGTAGAACCCCTTGTGAATTACCAGGCATGTGCAGACATCGCTGAGAGACAGATGACAGATATCTCCACAGGTGGGTGTGTCTCAGACGTATGAGTCTTACTGTATCTCACAGAACAGGAGTTATTGCTGCAGAGCCATGTCTGCAAAATAATTATTGGGTGGCTGTATTAACAAAAATAGTATGACAGGTAACTGAAGGTGGAATTCTATTATGTAGGGGGCGTACAGGCAAGACTTAATCAAGGAATCCTAATAGCTATATTAACAATGTAAGTGTTAAATCACAGAGAGACAATAAGGATCACTGTTGCAGAGGGCTTGGTAATTTTAAGCAGTTGTGCAAAATGTATCAAGCTTAAGTATGCATTAAATAATTACTTAAGTTGTAATGAGGTTATTCATTTTAATTATGTAAAACAAAATATACAGTCGATTAATGTTGGTTACTACCATTCAGGTAAGATGTCCTCTGCAGGGCTGAAAAAATTGAGGTGTATGTCGTCTGTCTTATTCGAAGGCTTTGGTTTCCAAGTCAAAAGTGTCTGAGATGCAATGTGTTTTTACAGAGACCAGTGATTCAGTTGCTTGCAGAGAAGGATCTAAAGGCGATTACCTTCTGAAAAGGCTGTATACAAATAAAACCACTGAAGAAGCTGACTGGATCATTCATTCACACAGACTACTTGTTGTAGGTGACTTAGAGCAATCTATTTGCACTGATGCTGTCAGCTTGTCTTATATTTTTACATTTCTATAAAAAACAGTTTTTCATCACTTCATTAACCTGATTTGTTATTTAAAAGTTATGATGTTTTAAGTATATTGCCTTTTTTATTCTTAGGAATCAGCAGTGAAACCTTACTAAGACCCAGTTCTGTTTCCCAAGAAGAACTTCTGGAAATGATTGACAGACAGAACAGAGACTGGGGAGTCAGTGGTGTACTTGTTCAACTTCCTTTACCAGGTACGCTAGGCTATGTTTCTCAGTTCATTCCCCTGGTTAACAATCAATTACAAAATATAAAATATTAATTAGTTCTGGTGGGTAGCTGTGTCAGCATGAGTAGGCTGTAAAGAAACAAGTAATACCTTTCTTCCATGCTGAAAAGAGAAGAAAGAAAACACGTTTCTTCACCTGTAGAAGGCACACAGACAAAATATTGTTTTTTCTGTCTTCTCTTTTCAGCATGGAATAAACCTGTTATTTATTCCATGTACAAAGCTATAACATCTTGTGTAAGGGCCATTTAAAGCTATCTTGAATAAAATTCTGAAATATTCTGTAATTCAGCAAATTTTCTATGCATAACATAATACTTTGAATGTTTTGATTTTTGCATTTTACTAGGCAGCAATTATTTAGCTATTAATACTTTTTTACTCAATTTCTATTTCTCTCTCCAATTTATGAGAAAAGATTTAAATTGCCCTTCACAGTTATGTATTATCGATTAAAAAGTGCTGGGAATACGCACTTGTGTCCATCTTAGTTTGCCCTGTCAATTCTGTAATGATGTGATCATAACTCAGAACGCTGAAAGATGCAACTGAATACAGGTATGCATCAACAGGCACTTCCTCCATAGGTGTAAATGTACAGCCCAGTCAAACTTCTCATTTTTCTGTGCCATTTAGAGCACATCAACGAGCGTGCTGTGTGTAACGCCATAGCCCCAGAGAAGGACGTGGATGGGTTTCACATAGTGAACATTGGAAAGCTGTGCCTTGACCAGAAATCAATGGTGCCTGCTACTCCTGCTGCTGTCTGGGAAATTATTAAAAGAACTGGTAAAAGAAATTCTTCACTCAACTCTTCCAATTTTTTTCCCCATGTATCTACCAAGTCAAACAAGCAGTTAAAACTAGCACTTTGAAGGCAGTATTTCAAAATAAGATTCTAGTCAGTTTTAATTGAGGTTTACTTGTTACTTGAGGCTTATACTGTACAGTAAGTACATTCTGTTTGCAGGTCACTTTACCATAACAAAATCCAGAGGGCTCTGTATACAGAAACTTCAGTTATTAATAGTTGTATTACTAATCTGTTACGTAAAGCATGTCATTAATGCTCTGTAAGATTTTTTTTTCTTTTGACTGTCCATTGTGGACTGATTTCACTTAGTATCATTTAGTAAACCTAATGTCTTTGTGCCATAAATCTCGCTATATGTCTTTAATATAGCCAGCAGGTGGCACTAATTTATAAGAAATGTCTGTTTTTTTTCCCTTTTAGAAAGCTTTGTTACATGTGTTATACCAACAGAATGCAAAAAGAGTACATTATATCCCCATTTACATTTATTTATTTTTTTCTAAAGGTTAAGTTTGTCCTTAAAGTCTTTAATAAAAAAACCTCATTTTAACTGCTGTATGCCTTTATGTGAACAGAATTTGTGGTAACTATATGAAACCATATGCACAGTGGGAACATTGCCACCTCTTCAAATTGTGTAATAATTAATTAATCAAACATAATCCAAAGAGCCACAGACATGTGAAATGCAGAGTGCCAGGAATGTATGGACAGGCTAATATTTTTTCTTCACTATTAGAAAAAGAGGGGCATTTTATTTCAGCCAAGCTCTTTACTTGAATCCTTAGCTGAACTATCCAGTTGTATGAGTAGACCCTTTGCAAGGTTTTTTTTACTCAAAACTTTAATTTATAAACATTTACAATAGTTAAAAGAAGACTCCAGCATGTTTTTCAAACTAAAAACAATAAAGGGTTCAGATTAATGCTAATAGTGTTAAGGGGTCTATTCAGCTGTGCAAGTCAATAGGACCAAAATTGGGAACCTCTGTCTTAGAGCATGATTCTTTAAAACATTTCTCACCAGACCATCTTATTTTAAAATAAAAATCTTTATATTTGATTTTTTTTATATTCCCCTTGGTAATCAAATGGAGTATTATTTTAGTTACTAAGGTCCATTGCTTGGATCGTTGTTTTTTTTAATGATAAACAATTTGAAAATACTAATTCATACTAAACTTCCTACACCTCCTTTAAGGATAAAGAATAGCTTTTTCAACATTACATTTATGAGAAAAACACATTGTGAATGCAGTTCATTCCTAATATCTTGTGTTCTTTCAGAAGCTGTTTTCTTGAAGGCATTACAGTGAAGAGCGAATGTTAAGGGTTATAATGTATTAAGAATGGATATTGATGAGTAGTGTCTCTTAAAGGAATCGACACAATGGGAAAAAATGTTGTGGTTGCCGGGAGGTCCAAAAATGTTGGCATGCCAATTTCTATGCTTTTGCACACCGATGGGAGACATGAAAGACCAGGAGGTAAGGGAACCAACTGCTGTTACTGTGGCCTTTGCTGTATATAATAAAACATTTCACTCTAAATAGCAGTGAAGAGTAATTTTGCCCAAAGTTAATCATTTTTGTAGTATTTCAACCGATAGGTCAATTATCTGTTGGCGTTTTCCTGGTTAATTAAAGTTGACATGTTTAGATGTTTAATCTTTTTCTTTGTTCAAAAATATTTTACATTTAAAAAGTCTAACATTTTACTATAAACCTTTCACTCTGATTAAGTTTATATGACATTTCCTGTCACAGTTGGACTTTACATGAAAGACCTCACATTTTTCACATTTTACCATAAGAAATAAAATGGGCCACTGTCTTTTAAATTTGACATCTGTGTTGCACAACATTGAGTGCGTGTTCTGTAAACATGATCAAGTGTGTTGTTTTTGGACTGGATTCCATAGCAATTAATTTATAAATTGAAATATAAATTGTGCTACTTATGTAACTTTTATTGCTTTTTCAGTTTTTGCTTGGAAAAATTAACTTAGGAAAGGAAATGTAGATTTACTTAAACCATTTCAAGTAGGTAGCTGTGTCAGCTTGCATAGGCTGCTAAGCAACAAGTAAAAGGTTTATTCCATGCTGAAAAGAGAAGAAAGAAAACACAAAGTTTTGGCTGTGGAGCCTTCTTCGGGCGAGCACCCTCATGACCGAAGAAGGCTCCATAGCCTAAATGTTGTGTTTTCTTTCTTCTCTTGGAATAAACTCAGCATTCTCAATGGAATAAACCTTTTACTTATGCCTTTACTTAAAGCATTCTCCTTCCGGAAGCATCTTTCAAAACAAAAGCTACAACAAAGAAAATGTCAGTGGCACTATACATAAGGGAAATGATAATATGATAGATATGGTTTTGAAAAATAGATCATATTGAAAAACAAACTTAGAAAAATTAGAATTAAAATTATTATATCTATGTAGGAAGAAGTTTAAAATTTAGTAACATAAAACAGAGCAGGATAGCACTAGCATTTGTATGTGCAGTATACCTTTACTGTAAATGTATCCTTTTTTGCATTAGTAATAAAAAACAATACTCTCTAACCTTCCATTACTCCATTACTTTCATATACTTTCATTTCATCACATTTTACAGTAGAAAGTATTCACTCTAAAACAACAATTTGTTATTGCAGCTAAATACTTAAACTGGGAATCACAAATGATTCATCGATTTAGTTGTGGTCTTACTAATGATCTGCTTTCGTGTCACTGCTTCTAAGATGTTTTAATTCTTTCTCAAATAGTGCACATGAGGATTTCAACAGATCTAGTCATTGGCTTCATAAGTGGCTTAACTTTGCTTAATCAGAAGACATAGCATGATGTCTTGATGATCCATTGATTTTATTTCTCCAGTAATAACTCAGTGTTTTTGTTGCACTAGTCACAAATGCTGTGTTTACTATTTTTAGCAAGTAAAAAAGCAACACTTTTGGCAAACTTTGTTTTTGCTATTAAATGTGATAAAAGATTCGGGGTTCCAATGATTGGAAATATCTTCCTAAACAATGAAATGTTTTACAACCTTTTCTTAGAGAATTGAAGGTGATTTTGTTAGTGGTGTTTAGTATAATGTTAGAAATGGTCTGCTCACGCTAGCATCTTCAATGCAGAGAGAAGACAAATGGAAATTTTCCTTCTTTTTATCCACTCAAGGAGGTTGTCCATTATAAAGAATTAACTAGAAGACCAGACTGGTGTCCAGCTGGTTTGGAGACAGAATGAAGGTTCTTTGGTGCTATACAGTACTTAATGCTTGTTCTGTTGAATACACTTACAGCAAAGGGTCCACATTGAGTGCAGGCTGAGTGTTATAGTCAAGTCCTTACAGGTGTGAGACTGGGTGGTCCATTACAAATTGGTGACTTTTTCATAGCCATTGCAGAAACAGAAAATGTACAGTATGATGATAAGTTTTCTCCTTGTCCTGTCATCAACTTTGGAGGGTTGTGGTGCCACTTTTTCTCCACTTATTGATGATAGTCTTCACAGTGCTCTATGGTACATCCAATGCCTTTGATATTCTTTTACACCCCACTCCTGACCGGTACCTTTCAACAATAAGATTCCATAGATGTTTTGTCAGCTCCTTGTGGACTATGGCTATCCCAGTAGGATGCATCCATGAAAGTTTCAAGGAAATCCTACAGGAACAGCTGATTTTTATTTGGGGTTAATCAGAATCACTTTTATTGATGGCAGGTGTACGCTATTTACCTTTGGACAGGATCAGTTAACTCTGAACACAGCTACAGCCCCCATTATCAAAAGGTGTGCACACTTATGCTACCAGGGTGTTGTAGGTTTTTTTATTTCAATTACTTTTCCTAATAATTATCTATTTGTTTTTCTCTTGAATTTTGTTGGTTGCAAGGTAACATTAAAGATGTACAAATGTCTAACATGATTTATCTTGATTTCTGGCTTAACTTCACAAAAATCTGCAATTTTAATAAGGGTGTGTAGACTTTTTATATCCACCATATGCATCTCAGCATGCCTAGACTGCATGAATTATATTATGAATTAAAGAAAGGTGTGTCTTTAACGTTTTTCTTTGACAAAAAATACTTTACAAAAATACTGTTAGTGCAATGAGCATAACTCTTTAAGAAAGTGACAAATTAAATTTTACAGCAATTCTAACGTCAGGGTTCTTGGTTTCCAGGATTGGCTCACCCTTGGATGTGAGTGGAAGTAGAACTAATTACATCTGCTTCCCATAAGCAAAAAAAGTACTTTTTTGGTGTTCTGGTTAAATTTCCAAAATAGATTAAACTGCTTCTATTGAGAAGAGTGACTGCAGAAGGAAGTTTAAAAAAGCTTAATGTCAACAGAAAGATTTAAAAACTAACTTTTCTGAAACTGAAACTTAAACATTTGTTTTTAAACAACAGTCCATGATTCATTTACCAAGACAAGATTACTTTCCTAGTTACTTGGAGAATCCCAAGTGTCAGTACAGCAGTATTTCACATACAGATCACTGAGACTGAGACAATGAAGAAGAATACAGTATGTTAATGACAGCTGTAACTTTTGGAATAAACTCTTCATCTAGTTAGAATTTTGCATGTTGTTTACAAAACCAGTTTAGAAGGTGAATTATGTTGACCATTGAATAGAGAGCTAGAGATGACTGTAGGTGTCAGAGCAGCCATTCAAAATACGTAAACTTCTTCAATGAACAGCTGGAATGCTAGACTTACAGTACCCAGAACAAAGACGTTAAGAGTACAAAGTATAAACAAGTAAGACTGTGAAGTAGACAGTGGTAATAAAGCACTCCCTTTCATTCAAACAGACCAAAATTATTAGGTGACGGCTTGGAAGGATACCCTTTTCTCTCAAAGGCATACAATACATCACCTGAAAACTAAATTGCTGGACGTTATGTCATTTGCCAAACCGCTTTATACCACACAATGTTGCGGGAAGAAACGAGGGCAAGGCAGGGTACACCCTGGATGGGGTGCCAGTCCATCGCAGGGCAAGTACAACCCAATCATACATGGGGACATTCTGGAGGCCACAGTAAAGGCCGAAGGGGGAAATTTGGCCCGGCCGAAGGGATAACTCCCTACTCTTATTGAGAAATGCCTGGGGTATTTGGACCCACACAGTCCGCAGGGTGGGCTCCTCCCAGCTCCCCCCCCGCTGGTCCCACTAACACCACTTCCAGCAGCAACAACAGGTTTTCCCAGGAGGTCTCTTATCCAGGTACTAACCAGGCTCAACCCTGCTTAGCTTCAGTGGGTTGCCAGTTGAGAGCTGCAGGGTGATGCAGTATAGCTGCTGGCACATTTACCAATGTATTGTTTTATTTCTAGAAGGTAATTAGAGCTTATTTATAACATTGAAACATTAAGCATTTTTCTGTCAGTAATTAGTGGATATTTCAAATTAGTTTAACATCACACAAAATTGTTTTTGGCATGAGGAAGTAAAATATATTTCCGATATTCCTGTAGTTTTATGTCTTCTTACTAACATGGCCAGTTTCCACATTTGTATTGTCATTTCAGCAATCCAACACCTTCAGCTTCCTACTACGGTTGTAACATTTCCTAGCGTGCCTGTCCCCCAGACGCACCACACATAAAATACTTGTTTGATGTATGGCCTAATGTGCTTGCAATCTCAGCCTTGCTTGAACCAGTTCAAAACAAATAAAAATGTCCTTTTACTTTAGCTTGTAATATACAGTAAATAGGCAAGTACTTCAAACCAATATGGTTTACCGTTCTTTGACTTGATGGACTTTAGAAATGTATTGAAAGTGTTTTAAAACATATTTACCACCTACAGTATTGTCTCCAGTTACATTTTGTTAGTTTTCAGTCTGGGTGTTCACAATCATAGCACTGCTTGCACCACTTCAAAGTAAATAAAAAACTGGCCTTTTACTTTGTTCTTTTCCTAGTTTCGGTATTTGCCTACAGTATGTCTTGTAAATAGACAAATACTGTAAACTAATATGGTTTATAGCTCTTTGACTTAATTCAATTTGGAAATAAACTGAAATTATTAGAAGAGAGAGCAAAGTACAATACAAATTTTGAGCCTTTTTACACTATAGAGATATCCAAAACTGCTGAGCACTTGGTTCTTTGTTGTACATTCCCATTACAAATTATACCAGTATTGCTTTGGAAGCAAACCTATTACAACATGTCCAGATGATGAAATGCTTGAAAAAATATATGGTAGAATTGACTTCGTGTGGTAATCCACTAATCCTTGTCAAGAGTTAACATTTTTTTAAGTGATTTCTCCAGGATGTCCATATATAGCAGAGGAGGAAAACAGGAAGGAGGGGGCCATGCTTTTCATTAGGCCATACATCAAACAAGTATTCTGTATGTGGCGCGTCTGGGAGCAGGCATGCTAGGAAACGTTAGAATTGTAAGAGGAAGCTGAAGGCGTTGGATTGCTGAAATCTCAACAAATGTGGAAACAGCTCT